CCGCTATATCCAGAACCGGAGCCATTGTTTTTGGGTGGTCGTCATATGGTGGTGGCGCTGTTGGTAAGGGTGGGTATAAACGGGTCCTTTCCTTTTGTCCTGTTTTCTCCGCATACAGTTTCTTCAATTTTCCAAGCATTGTTAGGCCAATCCTCTCCTTTAGTTTTGCTTTCTCCATTGCGTCTTTAATTTTGCCACTGCGGGGCTCTCCTTCACTTTTCCATTCGCCTTCTGCTTTCTGGGTTTTCCGTTTTAACGTCTCCAGTATTCTCCCTGGCTCGCCTTCTACGGGCACTCCATCGGGGGACAGTATACAGCCATCGTTTATCCATTCTCTATAAAGTTTTTCTGCCCTCCTGCTCCATTCTTTTCCATCTTTTCCTCCGTTTGTTTCAAGTGTGGATTTTAGAGCCTTCAATATTCTTTCCGCTTCTCCGCTGGTAGTCATGTTTTTTCCGTTTTAATTTGTAATATTCGTCCGTTATTTAGTTATTTAAGGTACATCTATTTATTATTCCCACCTAATTAGTCAAACTCGGCGCCAGGTTATTTCAGCCTTAAATGTTTGAAAGCAGTATTCTTACAGTGCCACACATCAAATGGTAAATTGAACGGATAACTCAAGTGTTTAAATTATTTAACCAATGGTTGTTACATCAAATTAAACGCCACACATCAAATGGTAAATTGAACGAATAAACCCAAGTGTTTCAATTATTTAACCAATGGTTCATACATCAAATTAAACGCCACACATCAAATGGTAAGTTAAACGGATAAACCCAAGTGTTTAAATTATTTAACCAATGGTTGATACTTCAAATTAAACGCCACACATCAAATGGTAAATTGAACGAATAAACCCAAGTGTTTCAATTATTTAACCAATGGTTCATACAACAAATTAAACGCCACACATCAATGGTAAGTTAAACGGATAAACCCAAGTGTTTAAATTATTTAACCAATGGTTGTTACATCAAATTAAACGCCACACATCAAATGGTAAATTGAACGAATAAACCCAAGTGTTTCCATTATTTAACCAATGGTTCATACAACAAATTAAACGCCACACATCAATGGTAAGTTAAACGGATAAACCCAAGTGTTTAAATTATTTAACCACTGGTTGTTACATCAAATTAAACGCCACACATCAAATGGTAAGTTAAACGGATAAACCCAAGTGTTTAAATTATTTAACCAATGGTTGATACTTCAAATTAAACACCACTCATATCACTTTAATTTACTTATTTAAACCCAGTATTATGCTATGTTAAACATCAAATGTTACAATTTAATTATATCAGTTTAAACGTTTCAGTTTAGTCATACTAGTTATTCATTATTTTACCTTCATATTCCCAATTGTTATTAACGGGTTATACGGTTTAGGCAACCACAAACCTAACAGTTAATCACAAATTATACAGTTTGGACAGCCACAGTCGTCTTAATATACAGGTTCATTATTTTTAATAACCCCTATTCACTATTTTATTTAGTCTGTGATCATTCGCGCACTCATGCATACAACAACACCCCGTGTCCCCCTGATTCTAGCTGTATCTAGCCCTCTGATACGTGTCAGTAGCGTACCACTATCTAAAATTTAAGTGCCCGTTATGATCGTAGCCGTATCTCAGTGGATATGTGCCACAACGTTACACTTTGATCAATTAACCCCTGTATCTCACAGTTACACCATTTGTGGTCCAGAGATTTCAGTATTTTTCTCAGAACCTAGCCATATCTCTTCTGGATATGTGTCTCAGAAACAATACTCAACTAAAATTTTTGGCGTTCCTCTGATCCTGGCCATATCTCGATGGATATGTGTCAGCAGTCAACGCCCTTAGCCAATAATTCCCTGTATCTCACAGTTCTCACCCCTGGTGATCCTAGCCTGGAGACTTCAGTATTTTTCTCAGAACCTAGCCATATCTCTTCTGGATATGTGTCAAAGAAACAATACTCAATGGTACCAATGTTTTAACATCACATTCACCAGAGGTTTACATGTCACAATATTGTGCTTATCTACTCATAATGGTTTGATAATTTAGTTCACTTACATCAGACAGTTGTTTCACAAAATTAATTTGAATAAAGCCAATTTGCAGATTTTCAGTTATTTAACAATAGGCATCTGCTTACCTTTAATTTTGTCCGGACTTTTTGTGAAACACAGTCCAATGAAAGAGATGACCAATGGGCCGGAAAGTATCCAGCGAAGTCCCTTCTACCAGATCACGTCGGGGTCTCCAATTGTCAAAGTTGCGTCAATTCAAATCTGGCATTAGGAACAAAAGAGGTCAACACGACTTCTAAGGTATACTAGTTATTTTAATTAATGCAAAAACCTTCAATGGTAAATATGATGTTTCGTATATACGGGTTCTCTGATATGCCTCGCAGGACACTCCAGACAACTAACTCCTTGTTCCAGAAAACAATACCCAAATACACTGACAGAGAAAGTTTCCCACTTCTCTGCTGGCCAATTAGAGTAAAGACTTGAGTAGTTTAAACTTTCTCAGCCAATACGTTGATGCAGGGGGTTGGTCTCATCTCTTCGGCGCCCTTTGTTACACACTCCAAGCAGGCACAAGATTATCATAACAACCTGTCATAGTGAGAAGAGCCAGCTCCCTTAGACATCATTCCCATGTCAAAGGAAGACTCATAGATCACAATGAACCATTATAGTCTTGTATTTGAAGACACAATCCTTATCTTCTCTTCACATCAATCACAGCCTTGCCAGGTGTCACAGCCTACATTAGCCCAGTCAAGAATGCATTCTTCCTAAGTTAGTCATCCCATTAGTTTAGGAGAATAATAAATCCCTAATAGTGGTAAGGTTTTAATGGGTGTAGGGTTAGTTGGTAGGGCCATTTCTTTCTTCATTTTTCCCCTTCCCTTTTGTCACAAAGTGTAATGAATTCACACTCCAGTACAGTAGATGGCGGTGTATGCACCTTTCAGTTGGTTGCGATCCGCCAATACAAATGTAAAGGATTTTGGGAATACGTTGAAAAGTAGCTTGACACTGTTAATCAGTCAGCACAAATGTTGTTTATATTGATAAGAAGAAAATTGCATTGCAGAGGAGGAAGCGTACTGATTAATTGCAGGGATCATCAACTAGATTCAGTCTCTGGACGATTTTTTCTTGAGCGTAGGGTCAGGTGGCCAGAACATAATTACAAATAATTAGTAGAATGCAAATTCACCGCAGGAAGCTTAAACAGATATAATATTTGACTACAACATAAACATTTCAAACATTAATTACATACACTAAGTGTTTCTCTGTAGTCTTAAACAAATCTACTTTGAAACAAAAGTATACACCTCACACACATGGTTATGGGCTTAAAAAAAAAAGAACCCCTGTACCATGTCAGATATAGAGTTGAAATGTATTCAATTTTGAGTTTGCATCCCAATATTACACTTTATATACATCACAGAAGACTGACATATAACAATTCAGAAACACCAGGTTTTCGGTGGTTTATGAACTATATTTTTGACTAATTATGAAATTATGAAAAATATGAATAACATTCCACCCATGAGGCCACTAGAGGGCGCTTGTGGTCATTCGACTGCAGGAAATGAAGAACACCTGCTCTTTCCATGACATGACCAGGTAAAAGCTATGATCCCTTATTGATGTCACTTATTAAATCCACTTCAAATCAGTGTAGATGAAGGGGAGGAGACAGGTTAAAGAAGGATTTGTAAGCCTTGAGACAATTCAGACATGGATTGTGTATGTGTGCCATTCAGAGGGTGAATGGGCAAGACAAAATATTTAAGTGACTTTGAACGGGATATGGTAGTAGGTGCCAGGCGCACCGGTTTGTGTCAAGAACTGCAACGCTGCTGTGTTTTTCACTTTTAACAGTTTCCCATGTGTGTCAAGAATGGTCCACCACTCAAAGGACATCCAGCCAACTTGACACAACTGTGGGAAGCATTGGAGTCAACATGGGCCAGCATCCCTGTGGAACGCTTGGCACCTTGTAGAGTCCATGCCCCGACAAACTGAGGCTGGCCCCAGATCTGTTTGTGCTCTCGCCAACTCCATTGCTGTCATTGTCAAGCCAAATGTTTTTTTTGGAATGACAATGAGTGACAAGGTAATTTCCGATTGAGCCGACAGATGTAGCGCTTACCACGAATGCAGTCTCCGCTAACGGGTATATGTTGTGAAATTGTTAGATATTACTTGTTAGATATTACTGCACTGTCGGAGCTAGAAGCACAAGCATTTCGCTACACCCGCTATAACATCTGCTAAACATGTGTATGTGACAAATAAAATGTGATTTGATTTGTAATCACTACTACAACCTATTGATTTTTACCAACACAAGTTGGTAGCCAGACTTCTAACTAATTTCAATTGATTTTGCCAGGTTTTAATTACACTGCTGCTACCAACTTCTTAGAAAAAAACATAGTACATAGTAAATTTTTTGTAATTGTAAACTTTATGCAAAGTTGTGTGTTAAAAATAAAATAAAAAAAGACTACAGGGGAATCATAATCACTGCAGTCATAACCGACTTGCCACTAAGTGGCACTATTGCTGAGGATGTAGGAAACAGAGGGAATAAAGAAAGAAAAACAATAGAAAGAAAGGAAAAAGTACTGTGTGACAAAAATGTATCCCCACTGCCAGTGTGTGTGTGTGTGTGTGTTATTTGAGAGAGGGAGTGTGTATGACCTGGAACAGCTCTTCCTGATGCAGTCCAAGCAGCTCCACTCCCCCTCTCCCGGCACAGGACTGCTGCTGTGGAGATGGGATGCTGATCCAGACTGGGAATATTTAATGCCTGGAATCTTAACTCTGGGTGGATCACTGCACCGTGAGGCGGCGTGCTGGGGAACACGGGAACTATCTGAAAGGAGATCATTTGGACTAGTTTGGACTTTTTTAAGGTGTTCTGATTTTGCAGCCTTCTCCTGAAGCTGGAATAATGTCTCTGGGCAGATGCAGGCAGGCCATGCTTGCAGCAGAGATCTGCACCCTGATGGCAATTCTGGTGGCAGGCACTGCAGGACAGAGCCAGGACAGGAGGGAGGCAGGGTCCTCCTGCTACGGGGGGTTTGACCTTTACTTCGTTTTGGACAAGTGAGTGTTCTCCTCTGTCTTCTTGCCTGCTCCAAGTCTCACTTTACTGCAGGAGCATCCATAGAGGCAGTGTAGCAGCCTGCTTCCATTTAGTCACCTACCACATGTTGGACATTTCTCTGCATTCTCATCATTATTGCCCAGAGAAATACTTACACCGAGCAATTACATTTTACTTTACAAATATATATATTTTTAAGGTAGTCTAATTTTAATGGAGTGATAGCCTGATCCACTAATCTGAACCAGAGGCCTGACAACACAACGTGAACATATATGTCTCCGGGGGCTAATTGGAAGTGTTAGAGCATGGGGGTGGGGTGGTGGAAGAGGGAAATAGAGTTGGTGGAGTGGAGGGGGTGCTTGGGCTGAGGTAAATATGCAGAAATTAGAGCAGGTATGTGGGTGATATGCAGTCCAAGAGACCCATGGGGCCAGAGGCTGCATACTAACCTCTCCCTGGTGGTTCCAATCAGTTCCACTAAAGCAGCACAGCAGAAAACTGGTCAAATCTACTTCCTCAGCTTTCCCCACCTGCTCTGTCAAGAGGCTCCATTAGTTTCTACTGGAAAATGGAAATTGGAAATGGAAAAAACTGCCAACAAAACACAGGCTATCTGTAAACTTGTTGTGCTATCACGGGCCTTAGAATCTCTGTTTTCATGAAACATTGCCCATATGGCATGTAGGATGCTGGGGAATGCTAGTATGTTATTGTTATGTGTTCAAGTCATGTGTTCCTTACCTTTCCAGACTCACCCCTCCCTCTGTGTGTCCAAATGCTTTTAAAGATGGCAATTGTTTTCCCAGTTATTGGCAGCTCCACTGCAATTACATTTCTGTGGTGCACCATGCTAGAATACAGAACTACAGTAATTCCGAGCTTTCATAGGGAATGTTTTTTCACAGTTAGTCCTGTCTTATTCAATTCTCATCCACAATCCGTTGAGCAGTCACACTATTGAGGATATATGAAAGCTAGCAAATAAAATGATTTTAGAAAAAAAATTGCCCCACAAAACCATTAGTTCATATATTTTTTAACTAGTTGTTTGGATGCATATGGTACACCACTTACCATATAAATAACCAAGTTTACAATAAAAGTAAATAAAAGTCTGCTCTTGAACGTGCAAAAGCAATCAGCTTAGTTTGGAAGTGAGAAAACAATACATTTCTACTTTAGATAATTTTTTGCTGCTTTAAGTTTCCCAAGCAATTAAAATCTTTCAGATGAACAGTTCTATAGTATAGATCACATGCAGTATTTCACACACTTTAATCGGAATACTGTATGCATGGGTGAAATGTGTGACTGTTCATACAGCATGCAGAGCAATGTTAGCTACTTCATGACTCCCCAGTCGTCTTCCCTTGCACAGTGTAGTGTGCAGTGGGGAGAGCTCCGGTCTTTCTCTACGCCCCAAACCTCTCTCCATGTCTGTCTGGTCTGCACAACCCTTTCACCATTAGGCCCAGATGTTCCAAAGCTCCCGAGTTTCTGGCAGCTGTGTCAGGACTGGGACTCATATCAAAGTACAACGGACAGAAAAACAAGTGAGAGGGAAGAAAAGAGAGGCAAAGAAAGAAAGAAAGAAAGAAAGAAAGAAAGAAAGAAAGAAAGAAAGAAAGAAAGAAAGAAAGAAAGAAAGAAAGAAAGAAAGAAAGAAAGAAAGAAAGAAAGAAAGAGAAAGAAAGAGAGAGAAAGAAAGGTAGAGAGAGAGAAAGAGATCTTTTGATTTATCCTTTCTCAATCAATGTATTCAGACTTTCAAGCATCAACATCTTTCAAATACTTAAACATATCCATCAAATATGTGGGACATTCTGTAAGTATTCATAACTGCTGTATTGCTATTGTGTCAGTCTGAATTGGCCAATCACTCAAAACCTCTGGCACGTCTGTAGGCCTACAGAAAAAGGCACATTGTGATCCATCCTAAACAAAACCTGTCTCTATGCACCATACTTATCAAGTCTAAAATGGTCACATCTCAAAGTTGCATTGACATTATCCTATTTGACTGGCGTTTTGGAAAAGCTGTGCTCATTTCCTGAGTCCAGTGTTGCTGTCCAAGGTAATCATCAAACACATACTGGTAATCATCTGAATAATATTTTTCCTTAATGCTGTCCAAACTACTCCCCATTTCATGAGGTCCCTGCTTTTATTTTTTATTTGATTTATGAGGATCTCCATTAGCCGATGCCAATGGTGACAGCTAGTCTTACTGGGGTCCAACACATAACGAAAAATACATTACAGACAAAATACTTTACAATTGACATACATTTAAAAACATTAACATGTAGTATGTGTGTGAATCTATCAGTTACACATACATGTCAGTACATACACACAACAAGTAGTTCACATGGGGGAGAGGCATTGTGCCGTGAGGTGTTGCTTTATTTGTTTTTTGAAACCAGGTCTGCAGTTCACTTGTGCTATATAATTGAAGGGAGTTCCATGCACTCATGGCTCTGTATAATACTGTACATTTACTTGAATTTGTTCTGGACCTGGGGACTGTGAAAAGACCCCTGGTGGCATGTCTGGTGGGGTAAGTGTGTGTGTCAGTGCTGTGTGTAAGTTGAGTATGCAAACAATTTGGAATTTAAAACACATTAAGTCTTATAAAAACAAGAAGTGGCGCAGTCAATCTTTCCTCAACTCTTAGCCAAGAGAGACTGGCATGCATAGTATTAATATTAGCCCTCTTATTACAATGAAGAGCAGAGCATCTCTTTATTACAGACAGACCTCTCCCCATATTTACAGCCGTTGAATCTATATGTTTTGACCATGACAGTTTGCAATCTAAGGTAACACTAAGTAATTTAGTCTCCTCAACTTGTTCAACAGCCACACCATTATTTAGCAGATTCAGCTGAGGTCTAGAACTTAGGGAATGATTTGTACCTAATACAATGCTCTTAGTTTTAGAGATGTTCAGGACCAGTTTATTACTGGCCACCCATTCCAAAACAGACTGCAACTCTTTGTTAAGGGTTTCAGTGACTTCATTAGATGTGGTTGCTGATGCGTATGTGGTTGAATCATCAGCATATGGACACACATGCTTTGTTTAATGCCAGTGGCAGGTCATTGTTAAAAATAGAAAAGAGTACACCACACTTTACGTGTTTGACATTAGAGAAGCTTCCATTAAAGAAAACCCTCTGAGTTCTATTAGATAGAAAGGTTGAAAAGCCATAACACATACGTTTTCTCAACAACATGTTATGGTCAATAATATCAAAGGCTGCACTGAAATCTAACAGTACAGCTCCCACAAACTTCTTATTATGAATGTCTTTCAACCAATCAGTCATTTGTGCCGGTGCAGTACATGTTGAGTGCCCCTCTCTATAAGCATGCTGAAAGTATGTTCATTTGTTTACAGAGAAATAGCATTGTATTTGGTCAAACAATTTTTTCCAACAGTTTGCTAAGAGCTGGCAGCAAGCTGATAGGTCTACTGTTAGAACCAGTAAAGGCCGCTTTACCAGTCTTGGGTAGCGGAATGACTTTGGCTTCCCTCCAGGCCTGAGGACAAAGACTTTCCTCTAGGCTCAGATTAAAGATATGACAGATAGGAGTGGCTATAGAGTCAGCTTCCATCCTCAGTAGCTTTCTATCTAAGTTGTCAATGCCAGGAGGTTTGTCATTATTGATCGATAACAATAATCTTTCCACCTCTCCCACACTAATTTTACAAAATTCTAATTTGCAATGCTTTTCTTTCATTATTTGTTTTTTATGCATGAGTACAATGGCTCACTGTTCGTTGTTGGCATTTCTTGCTTAAGTTTGCCCACTTTGCCAATAAAGTAATCATTAAAATAATTGGCAACATTAAATGGTTGTGTAATGAATAAGCCATCTGATAATTTCATTTAAAGTACTCCAACGTTTTTTCCATCATTCTTTATATCATTGATCTTGGCTTCATAATACAGTTTCTTCTTCTTTTTGTTAAATTTAGTCACCTAATTTCTCAATTTGTAGTAAGTCAGCCAGTCAGATGTGCAGCCAGACTTATTAGCCATTCCTTTTGCCCCATCACTTTCAACCATAGTTTTTCAATTCCTCATCAATCCATGGAGCCTTAACAAATATATTTTTTTACATCATCCACATAAGAGTCACAGCAAAGTATTTTGTATGATCTCATACACTATTTTAGGCCCAGCTTTGGAACTTTGGCTTTCCTGGATGTAGCCACTATATTGTGATCACTGCATCCAATGGGTACGGATAAAGCTTTAGAACAAAGTTCTACGGTATTACTAAAAATGTGATCAATACATGTGGATGATCTTGTTCCTGTAGTGTTTGTAAACACCCTGATAGGTTGATTAATAACCTGAACCAGATTACAGGCACTTGTTACAGTGAGAAGCTTCCTCTTGAGCGGACAGCTTGATGAAAACCAGTCAATATTCAGGTCCCCAAGAAAGTAGACCTCTCAGTTTACAACACATACACTATCAAGCATTTCACACATATTATTTAGATACTGACTGTTAGCACTAGGTGGCCTATAGCAACACCCAAAAGTATTTATGTGCCAGGTGAACCTGCAACCACAACACTTCAATAACAATTGACATAAGACCTTCTCTAAGCATTACAGGGATATGGCTCTGAATATATACAGCAACACCTCTCCCATATCCTTGTATTGCTACTTCTGTATCATCAAATGAATTACAGTGCATTCGGAAAATATTCAGACCCCTTGACTCTTTCCACATTTTGTTACATTACAGCCTTATTCTAAAATGGATAGAATCGTTTTCCCCCCCTCATCAATCTACACACAATACCCCATAATGACAAAGCAAAAAACAGGTTTTTAGATTTTCTTTGCAAATAAATTGTCAAAAATAAACTTAAATATCACGTTTACATAAGTACTCAGACCCTTTACTCAGAACATTGTTGAAGCACCTTTGGCAGCGATTACAGTCTCAAGTATTCTTGGGTATGACGCTACAAGCTTGGCACACCTGTATTTGGGGAGTTTCTCCCATTCTTCTCTGCACATCCTCTCATCCTGTCAGGTTGGATGGGGAGCGTTGCTACAGAGCTATTTTCAGGTCTCTCCAGAGATGTTAGATTGGGTTCAAGTCTGGGCTCTGGCTGAGCCACTCAAGGATATTCAGAGACTTGTCCCGAAGCCACTCCTCCGTTGTCTTGGCTGTGTGCTTAGGGTTGTTGCCCTGTTGGAAGGTGAACCTTCGCCCCAGTCTGAGGACCTGAGTGCTCTGGAGCAGGTTTTCATCAAGGATCTCTCTGTACTTTGCTCTGTTCATCTTTCCCTCGATCCTGACTAGTCTCCCAGTCCCTGCCACTGAATAACATCCCCACAGCATGATGCTGCCACCACCATGCTTCACCGTAGGGATGGTACCAGGTTTCCTCCAGACGTGACGCTTGGCATTCAGGCCAAAGAGTTCAATCTTGGTTTCATCAGACCAGAGAATCTTGTTTCTCATGGTCTGAGAGTCCTTTAGGTGCCTTTTGGCAAACTCCAAGCGGGCTGTCATGTGCCTTTTACTGAGCAATGGCTTCCATCTGGCCACTCTACCATAAAGGCCTGATTGGTGGAGTGCTGCAGAGATGGTTGTCCTTCTGGAAGGTTCTCTCATCTCCACAGAGGAACTCTGGAGCTCTGTCAGAGTGACCATCGGGTTCTTGGTCACCACCCTGACCAAGGCACTTCTCCCCCGATTGCTCAGTTTGGCCAGGCGGCCAGCTCTAGGAAGAGTCTTGGTGGTTCCACACTTCTTCCATTTAAGGATGATGGAGGCCACTGTGTTCTTGGGGACCTTCAATGCTGCAGAAATGTGTGCCTCGACACAATCCTGTCTCGGAGCTCTTCGGACAATTCCTTCGACCTCATGGCTTGGTTTTTGCTCTGACATGCACTGTCAACTGTGGGACCTTATGTAGACAGGTGTGCCTTTCCAAATCATGTCCAATCAATTGAATTCATCACAGGTGGACTCCAAGTTGTAGAAACATCAAGGATGAATAATGGACACAGGATGCACCTGATCTCAATTTCGAGTCTCATAGCAAAGGGTCTGAATACTTATGTAAATAATATGATTTTTATTATAAATACATTTGCAAACATTTCTAAAAACCTGTTTTTGCTTTGTCATTATGGGGTATTGTGTGTAGATTGATGAGGATTCGTTGTTTTATTTAATCCATTTTAGAATAAGGCTGTAACGTAACAAAATGTGGAAAAAGTCAAGGGGTCTGAATACTTTCCGGATGCACTGTATCTAAGTGAGCTTTAGAAATGGCTAATATATGAATGTTATCTGAAGTTAGCAAGTTATTGATTTCATGAACCTTATTTCTGAAGCTACATATATTAATGTGGGCAATTTTCAGGCCTTTCCTGGGTAGCTTATCGGAGATAGACATAATATGGAAAAGAGCAAACAAAGCAAGAGAAAAATATATATACATTCAGCAGTCCATTAATCAGTTGGTATGTGTAAGTGTGTGTGTCTATGCTGTGGGTTTGAGGGGGGCTCTGAGGTACCGGAACACATTGAGAAAAAAAGTGTCAAACACAACGTAGCAGCCAAGTAGCCTACTATGGATTGTGGTGAAAGCGACAGCACACTCCAAGGTGCTAATTAATTCAAAGCATTTTAGACATCACTGCAGCATGCCCACATACTTGAGTACAGCTGCGGGTCTTACACAAGTCCGCATTTCTTATAGTTAGCAATTGCTGTGAAGTCACCAAAATTATTTGAAATAACGATTGAGGTAGCTACAGTATGTAATCTAACAACACTTAACTACTACAAACTAATTAAAATTACGATAAATAAAAGTTAACTTACTTGTTTTTTGCTGTCCAGTGGCAACACAAGTGGGGTATTTGATTTGCGAACTCATCACATGATTAGTGTCTCGTCAGCAACACAAAAAATGTACTTCCGGGCCACAGAATTTTGAAAGAATTCAATATGAAAGTTCCCCACGTAATAGTAGAAAAGTGTCAATAACCATTCATGAAAAATTATTGTCTAAACATTAACAATGATTCATATTTGTTCATATGTAAGTGACATTTGCATTACATTTGTGTTTTTAGACATGTTCCAAGGTCATATAAATGCCCCCAATGTGAATCACTGTATATGGAATACATACAGTTGAAGTTGGAAGTTTACATACACCTTAGCCAAATACATTTAAACTCAGTTTTTCACAATTCCTGACATTTAATCCTAGTAAAAATTCCTTGTCTTAGGTCAGTTAGGATCACCACTTTATTTTAAGAATGTGAAATGTCAGAATAATAGTAGAGAGAATGATTTATTTCAGCTTTTATTTATTTCATCACATTCCCAGTGGGTCAGAAGTTTACATACACTCAATTAGTATTTGGTAGCATTGCCTTTAAATTGTTTAACTTGGGTCAAACATTTCCGGTAGCCTTCCACAAGCTTCCCACAATAGGTTGGGTGAATTCTGGCCCATTCCTCCTGACAGAGCTGGTGTAACTGAGTCAGGTTTGTAGGCCTCCTTGCTCGCACACGCTTTTTCAGTTCTGGCCACACATTTTCTATAGGATTGAGGTCAGGGCTTTGTGATGGCCACTCCAATACCTTGACATTGTTGTCCTTAAGTCATTTTGCCACAACTTTGGAAGTATGCTTGGGGTCATTGTCCATTTGGAAGACCCATTTGTGACCAAGCTTTAACTTCCTGACTGATGTCTTGAAATGTTGCTTCAATATATCCACATAATTTTCCTTCCTCATGTTGCCATCTATTTTGTGAAGTGCACCAGTCCTTCCTGCAGCAAAGCACCCCCACAGCATGATGCTGCCACCCCTGTGCTTCACGGTTGGGATGGTGTTCTTCAGCTTGCAAGGCGACACCTTTTTCCTCCAAACATAACGATGGTCATTATGACCAAACAGTTCTATTTTTGTTTCATCAAACCAGAGGACATTTCTCCAAAAAGTATGATCTTTGTCCCCATGTGCAGTTGCAAACCGTAGTCTGGCTTTTTTATGGCGGTTTTGGAGCAGTGGCTTCTTCCTTGCTGAGCTGCCTTTCAGGTTATGTCGATATAGGACTCGTTTTACTGTGGATATAGATACTTTTGTACCTATTTCCTCCAGCATCTTCACAAAGTCCTTTGCTGTTGTTCTGGGATTGATTTGCACTTTTCGCACCAAAATACGTTCATCTCTAGGAGACAGAACGTGTCTCCTTCCTGAGCGGTATGACGACTGCGTAGTCCCATGGTGTTTATACTTGCGTACTATTGTTTGTACAGATGAACGTGGTACCTTCAGGCATTTGGAAATTGCTCCCAAGGATGAACCAGACTTGTGGAGGTCTACACCTATTTTTCTGAGGTCTTGGCTGATTTCTTTTGATTTTCCCATGATGTCAAGCAAAGAGGCACTGAGTTTGAAGGTAGGCCTTGAAATACATCCACAGGTACACCTCCAATTGACTCAAATGATGTCAATTAGCCTATCAGAAGCTTCTAAAGCCATGACATCATTTTCTGGAATTTTCCAAGCTGTTTAAAGGCACAGTTAACTGAATGTATGTAAACGTCTGACCCACTGGAATTGTGATACAGTGAATTATAAGTGAAATAATCTGTCTGTAAACAATTGTTGGAAAAATTACTTGTGTCATGCACAAAGTAGATGTCCTAATCGACTTCCCAAACCATAGTTTGTTAACAAGAAATTTGTGGAGTGGTTGAAAAATGAGTTTTAATGACTCCAACCTAAGTGTATGTAAACTTCCGACTTCATCTGTATAGGCTTAGAGCAAGAACTATTCTGGGTGCCGCAGTAAAGGTATGGTAGGGAATATTCAGTAGGGTCTGTAGAATGTATATATGGTGTCATTTCATTGGGCTGAATAATACGGAGTGCTGCTGGCCATTCTATTGGCGGCCAAATCACATCACATGTGCTTGTTGCACTACAGAAAACCAGCTAACCAAACAACAGTGTTTCTTTGATTTTTCCCAGACCTCAAAAGTCATCCCCTGATGTGGTTTAAGCATTGTTGTGAACACAGAAAAATGTTTGTGACAAAATGGGGTTAAACATGAAATAAATTGAGAAATCTGAAACCTGGAAAAACAAAAGCAAGAAAACAGAATTGTGGGAAAAAACTGAAGTAGGTAAAATATAAAAATGGATTTTAAAAGGCCCTACCAACGTTTCCTGCTGTGCATGACTGCACTTTCAAAATATGTCTACTTACATGTTGTATTGACAAGCATCATTTCCCTCATTTTGGTTGAGTTCCTCCCCGACTACATTGCAGACACATGCCAGATCTTACAACGCCTGGATAGGTAGGCCTATTTAACATATCAACAAACCAAATCACATGATATAGAAATCTGCTATCATGGCACACAACCATTGGTTGATGCATGCAACATCTGAGCAGGGTAACGCATTATCATTAGCTAACGCCCTGTAGGGTGAGCTGATTGGTGGACACACGGAAGCAGCGATTGGTTTGTGGACAGGTCAATCATGGTACCTGTAAGGGCCCTTTTAACAGCTCCACCACAATAACAGACATCTTCCAACATTTATTTTAGGTCCGGGAGTGTACAACACCACTGGAATGAGATCTATTACTTTGTCGATCACCTGGCTCATAAATTCATAAGGTACAGTATTGCCTGGATTGTTACCCAGATACCACTACAAGTCCCAGAGAGCTCAATGAATGTATACTGGCCAGTAAGGATGTATCAAGTCCAGTAAGGATATAAACAGACATGTTTTTGCACAAAGTATTTGGACAAGACAGCAACACACATAAAGAGATTATGTCTGTCTGTCAACTGTGGAAATACTCCCACCCCCCACCCATCTACAGGTCACTGCCAAAATAAAGGAAACACCAACATAAAGTGTCTTAATAGGGTGTTGGGTCACAACAAGCCAAAACAGCTTCATTGCACCTTGGCATAGATTCTACAAGTGTCTGGAACTCTATCGGAGAAACTCCATCATTTGGTGTTTTGTTGACGGTGGTGGAAAACGCTGTCTCAGGCGCCACTCAAGAATCTCCCATAAACTTTCAATTGGGTTGTGATCTGGTGACTGAGACAGCCATGGCATATGATTTACATCGTTTTCAAGCTCATCAAACCATTCAGTGACCACTCGTGCCCTGTGGATGGGGGCATAGCCATTGTAGCCAAAATAATGGCCTGCCCAGCATTTTTATACATGACCCTAAGCATGATGGGATGTTAATTGCTTACTTAACTCAGGAACCACAACTGTGTGGAAGCACCTGCTTTCAATATACTTTGTATCCCTTATTTACTCAAGTCTTTCCATTATTTTGGCAGTTTCCTGTATCTCTTTCTCTTCCTCTCTAGTCCTCAGCTGCGGATGTCCTTCATTGTATTTTCTACAGAGGGACGGATCCTGATGAAACTAACAGAAGACAGGCAAGACATAATCCTTCAAGCTGTTGTGGCTTATGCTTTAACTACTCACAACTAACACAGACAGGATACACAATACAACACTTTTAATGACCTGCCCATTTCACTCATTGGTCAATCGTTTTGTGGAGGGTACTATGTGGGGTACTGCCCACATGATACACTGACGGTACCAATGGCATAGTGTGTGTGTGTGTGTCTGTGTAAGAGCAGGGAGCAGATTCGGGCAGGCCTGGAGGAGCTCCGCATGGTGCACCCTGGGGGAGACACTTTCATGCACAAAGGGTTCCAAAGGGTGAGTAATGGATTGGAGACCAGTAGCTGAAGGTAACTGGGCAACAGCTAGACGTCCCGCTGCAAAAATTAGAACAATATATTGTTCTGTTCCAATAACCTTCCTATCTATCTATGGGTAAAAGCAGAAGACAAATTGCTCTCTCGTATTGATCAATAAAGTATCCTAAAAATGATTCTTCTTCTATCTGCTCTTCCAGGCCAGTGAACAAATCTACTATGCTGGTGACAGTGAGTAGATTATTCTTGTTTTTGCACTTGGAATAAATAATGTGGGTAGAACTCTGGCTCTCATTATGTCAAAAGCAGACACAAAAGAGTACAATTAAAACCTATTGATCCCTATTGAACACAATTTATGGTATCAGAGGTATTAGAATGAATTATCCAATTATTATCTTCACATTCAGAGACAGATAGACAGTCTGTGTTCTGAGAAGATGTCTTCTGTTCTGCTCTGTTGTCTTGTAACTCATTTGTGAGTGGCGCAGTGGTCTAAGGCACTGCATCGCAGTGCTAACTGTGCCACTAGAGATCCTGGTTCGAATCCAGGCTCTGTCACAGCCAGCCGCGACCGGGAGACTCATGGGCGGCGCACAATTGGCCCAGCGTCGTCCAGGGTAGGGGAGGGAATGGCCGGCAGGGATGTAGCTCAGTTGATAGAGCATGGCGTTTGCAACGCCAGGGTTGTGGGTTCGATTCCCACGGGGGGCCAGTATAAAAAAATATGCATTCACTAACTGTAAGTCGCTCTGGATAAGAGCGTCTGCTAAATCACTAAAATGTAAATGTAAATGTATTTGTCCTGGTCCATCAGGTTTCCGTACGGCCAGTGTCATCATTGCCTTGACAGATGGCGAACTGAGGGAGAATCAGTTTGATCTGGCAGAGAGAGAGGTGAGATAAATATTTGTTTTGGACCTACAGTAATGGATGATCTATTGGTAATATCTACTGTATCACTACACTCACAGAGTGAGGAGAATGCAAATAGCTAACCACATTCCACAAGGTATTCCAGTCCTGGAGGAGTGGCTTCTCAGTACTACTGCCTGTCATAATCTGTAATTATCATTATTAGAAATGCTGTTTCTGTTAATACACTATATATACAAAAGTATGTGGACACCCCTTCAAATTAGTGGATTTGGCTATTTCAGCCACACCCATTACTGACAGGTGTATAAAATCAAGCACACAGCCATGCAATCTGCATAGACAAAAACAGGCAGTAGAATGGCCTTACTGAAGAGCTCAGTGACTTTCAACGTGGCACCGTCATAGGATGCCACCTTTCCAATAAGTCAGTTCGTAAAATGTCTGCCTTGCTAGTGCTGTCCCGGTCAACTGTAAGTGCTGTTATTGTGAAGTGGAAACGTCTAGGATCAACAACGCTCAGCTGCGAAGTGGTAGGCCACACAAGCTCACAGAACGGGACCGCCAAGTGCTGAAGCGCATGGCGCGTAAAAATCGCCTGTCCTCGCTTGCAACACTCACTACCGAGTTCCAAACTGCCTATGGAAGCAACGTCTACACAAGACCTGTTCGTCGGGAGCTTCATGAAATGGGTTTCCATGGCCGAGCAGCGGCACAAAAGCCTAAGATCACCATGCACAATGCCAAGCGTCGGCTGGAGTGGTGTAAAGTTTGGTGGAAGAGGAATAATGGTCTGGGGACGTTTTTCATGGTTCGGGCTAGGCCCCTTAGGTCCAGTGAAGGGAAATCTTAACGCTACAGCATACAATGACATTCTAGACGATTCTGTGCTTTCCAACTTTGTGGCAACAGTTTGGGGAAGGCCCTTTTCTGTTTCAGCATAAAAATGCCCTGTGCACAAAGCGAGGTCCATACAGAAATGGTTTGTCGAGATCGGTGTGGAAGAACTTGACTGGCCTGCACAGAGCCACTCAACTCCATCGAACACCTTTAAGATGAATTGGAATGCCGACTGCGGGCCTAATCGCCGAACATCAGCACTCGACCTCACTAATGCTTGTGACTGAATGGAAGCAAGTCCCTGCAGCAATGTTCCAACATCTAGTGGAAAGCCTTCCCAGAAGAGTGGAGGCTGTTACAGCAGCAAAGGAGGGACCAACTCTATATTAATGCCCATGATTTTGGAATGAGATGTTATACGAGCAGGTGTCCACACACTTTTGGTGATGTAGCATATCTTCCTACAGCTGGTTGCATCAGTAAATTCAGCTGGTGAAATGGAAAAGAGCCTAACCTAAAGCCTTTCAATTACTGGATGTCTATACATTGGCTGGTGGCCATTTGTGCAGAACTTCCTAGACTTGAGAAGTTGACTTAAATGTCACCAAGACTGAAGAAGTCATCATGGGCTGTGGAAGAACACCCAAAGCACTCAGGGCCATAACTATATATGTGGACACCAAGGTCCGGACTTCTCACAGTTCTCACACTCGAATTTCAACAAACAACTTTGTTTTTATTTTTAGGAACTCAGTCGGGGTCTCAATTTACACAAGGTGCAATTTTGAAACTTAGTTGTGCATCAGCAGTTTTCTTCGTCATACGTCACTCACTAGCTAGGTTTACATCAAATTGGCAACAGATTTTCATGCGAAAATTCTATAATCTGCATATAAACAATATGCAAATTTTCCCACCAGAGGTGTTTCCATCAAATTGACTTGTTGCAGCTAAAAGGCTGTGCGTGATGACGTAGTGCACATAAAATGCATTTTGCTGTTAAAATGTAGTGTTATATAGTATACACACTCTGGTATTGGCACATACACTCTAGCCAACAGCACTATCTGTACACTGTTCGCTAAAGCACACATATAGCCTACATGATGAGATTATTATTTTGGACAAAAGAGCGAGATTATTTGTCAAACGGCAGCCAAGCATTGATTATCATGTCACCAGAATAAGACCCTTGATATTTATTGGAAATGAGCATCAAGCTCATACAGTGCACTTATACCACCATGTGAAGTTCATCATAATTTATTTCATCTGTAACCTAATAAACTGTATGCTTTCCCGATGAGTCGTAGTAGGAGGACCACACAACATGTCATCTCATGACTCCAAGTTTACTTCGATATGATGGCTATTATATCAACATTTGCGTATAAAAGCGTTTCCACCAAAAATGTTCGCATAATAAATTTTACCAACATAAAAAGATCCCACCTTGTCTTGCGTATTTTGTTTTGTCGACATTTGGAAGGTTTACCGAAAAATTGTGTTTCCATCAGGTCTGTCTGACATTTTTTATCCAACATGTACTTTACACACATGGAATGGTTGGATGGAAACCTCTTTACTGACAGTCACTCAATTGTAAAAATACATTGGTACATTAGTCTAGTTAGTCTAGCCAGCTATCTAAACTTGTAATAATCATGACCCAGGGGTCCTGACCTCTAGGGGGCCCCCATTGTTTTTGCTAGTCACTCTCATACAGATAAAGTTATATAAAACAAACTAATTTGTTTACTTTTTGTTAATAAAATGCTTTTTCTGCTAACAGATCCCTCTGTACTTATTAAATTATAGTTTTTAATCCCAGTGCTGAGTTAATGTGTAGCAGCTAATTATAGCTAATAGGCTATGTGTTTGTAGATCGACTGAGGTGAATGAACCTACAGCAGCCAAGGTGATAATGGCTGGAGTAATTTTTGCTTGTTTTTGCTGTTCTCCAAAAAGCATTGTATAGTTTTTAAACTGTATAAGAATTCAGTAAATGAGCTCCAACTGTCTTAATATTCACCCTGTCCGGGGACCTCACTAAAACTCAGACCCTGGTTACGGCCCTGAAATAACTAGATTTAAACAAAGCAATCGATAGAGTGGACTGCTACAAAAATGCCTGCAACATTATAGACAGCAAACTCTGCTTTGGAGAAAACTTGGATGCCTTTGTCTCCAAATGTCAGTCACGACTAAATACCTGCACAAACTAAGATGGTTGGAGAAAACCCAAAATCTGTCTTGCAAGCGTTCCATAGATGCTTCATAGAATCAATGCTCATCCTTTATGGAGACACCTTTATACAATGTGTTGTATTGGTTTTCTATATATCTAACACCACACATGAAGTTCTCTCTACTTTGGTCAATATCGAGTTATGAAATAACTTTCATGTCTATTTGTGTTGCCCTTTTGAAAACTAGGCCAGCCGATCGCGTCAACTGGGCGCCTCAGTCTACTGCGTGGGAGTAAAAGACTTCAATGAAACCCAGGTGAGCCACGTTCACATGTTTCTGTTGTGAGCAGGGGATTATTATTGTTATTACACTGTTATTAAATTATAACTCTCCTCACTCCCTAGCTTTGGACAATAGCCGACAGTAAGGACCATGTCTTCCCTGTAAATGATGGCTTTGAGGCACTGCAAGGAGTCATTGATTCAGTAAGGGCACTGTTGTTGGGGTTGGTAGAATGATGCAAACAGCTGTTCACTATTTTAAGGTATGTTTTCAACACTGTTGAAAGGATACCATGGTATAAGGTATACATACTTTCAACAGCTCTAAGTCTTACAGATTTACGCCATCAGTACTGCTGCTCTCCGCCTTCATCATTAACCATCGCCTTCTCCCTCTCGTCTTCTCCCTCGCTCTCTGTTTCTCTCGCTCTCTCTTCTCCCTTCCCGCAGATCCTGAAGAGATCATGCATTGAGATCTTGGCAGCAGAGCCCTCTAGTATCTGTGAAGGAGGTGAGTGGTGTATTAGCTCCTCTGTTGGAGCTCCAGAATGGAAATGGGTTTCTTAATGGACTCCAGCTGCATGGCAATGACGCTTGTTTATTGATATGCTGCTAACACGGATCAATCCACTCTGTGTTTCTACTGTGTGTGTAATGAGACAGCAGGGGGGAAATTGATTGACTTAAATATGTGTTTGACTCAGTGTAAATGCAAAGTGCCAGCTGAAGATAAACAGGCGTGGTTAAAACATTACATCCTCTCTGGCTCAGCCTAGCCTGCATTTGACCGATTTCAGATAATCATCATCCCACTGGGCACAAACTGGTTAAGTCAACATTGTTTCAAAGTAATTTGTCAAGTTATTGTGACGTGGAATCTATGTGGAAAATACATTGGATTTGAAAAAAGTCATCACTGTTGTTTTAAGGGTAGAATTTCAACTACAGGATAATATCATGATGGTAACCAATTTTCAACATAGACACACCTTGTATAAAATATGTTGAATTTGTACCTTTGAAACAACATCAGATCTTCAACGTAATATCCACTATAAGAAAAAACAATAGGCTGAGCAGCACCTCCTACTGGAGAGTTGATCTATCTACAGCTATCCCTTCAGTCTTCCATCAAGGGCTTTAACCAAACCCAGCCCTGGTTAGCTTTGATATTAGACTATAACCATGTAATATCGTGAGAATGATTGTTGAGAAATGTCCCCTTAATAGATTCACTGTTGCTATCGAAGTTATTCCAAAGGGTAGATTCAACAGAGCAAATTAAATGTAACCATATTTAGGCCAATATAGTACTTGGGAAGTCATCAACAGCTATTGTTTAAATTCTAAAAATAGACAATACATATACAGTGCATTCAGACCCCTTCCCTTTTTCCACATTTTGTTACGTTACAGCCTTATTCTAAAATTGATTAAATAAAACATTTTCCTCATCAATTTACACACAATACCCCATAATGACAAAGCAAAAACAGGTTTTTAGACATTTTTGCCAATGTATTACAAATATTAAAGAGAAATACCTTATTTACATAGCTATTCAGACCCTTTGCTATGAGACTAAAAATTTAGCTCAGGTGCATCCTTTTTCCATTGATCATCCTTGAGATATTTCTACAACTTGATTGCAGTCCACCTGTGGTCAATTCAATTGATTGGACATGATTTGGAAAGGCACACACATGTCTATATAAGGTCCCACAATTGACAGTGCATGTCAGAGCAAAAACCAAGCCATGAGGTTGAAGGAATTGTCCGTAGAGCTCCAAGACAGGATTGTGTTGAGGCACAGCTCTGGGGAAGGGTACCAAAAAATGTCTGCAGCATTGAAGGTTCACAAGGACACAGTGGCCTCCATCATTCTTAAATGGAAGAAGTTTGGAACCACCAAGACTCTTCCAAGAGCTGGCCGCCCAGCCAAACTGAGTAATCGGGGGAGAAGGGCATTGGTCAGGGAGGTGACTAAGAACCTGATGGTCACTCTGACAGAGCTCCAGAGTTCCACTGTGGAGATGGGAGAACCTTCCAGAAGGACAACCATCTCTGCAGCACTCCACCAATCAGGCCTTTATGGTAGAGTGGCCAGACAGAAGCCACTCCTCAGTAAAAGGCATGACAGCCCGCTTGGAGTTTGCCAAAAGGCACCTTAAGGACTCAGACCATGAGAAACAAGATTCTCTGGTCTGATGAAACCAAGATTGAACTATTTGGCCTGAATGCCAAGCATCACATCTGGAGGAAACCTGGCACCATCCTTACGGTGAAGCATGGTGGTGGCAGCATCAAGCTGTGGGGATGTTTTTCAGCGGCTGGGACTGGGAGACTAGTCAGAGTCGACGGAAAGATGAAGGGAGCAAAGTACAGAGAGATCCTTGATGAAAACCTGCTCCAGAGCGCTCAGGATCTCAGACTGGGGTGAAGAATCACCTTCCAACAGGACAACGACTCTAAACGCACAGCCAAGACAACGCAGGAGTGGCTTCGGGACAAGTATCTGAATGTCCTCGAGTGGCCCAGATAGAGCCCGGACGTGAACCCGCTTGAACATCTCTGGAGAGACCTGAAAATAGCTGTGCAGCGTCGCTCCCCATTCAACCTGACAGAGCTTGAGAGGATGTGCAGAGAAGAATGGGAGAAACTCCCCAAATGCAGGTGTGCCAAGCTTATAGCGTCATACACAAGAAGACTTGAGGCTGTAATCACTGCCAAAGGCTGAGTAAAGGGTCTGAATACTTTTTTCTTTTTTTTTATACATTTGCAAACATTTCTAAAAACCTGTTTTTGCTTTGTCATTATGGGGTATTGTGTGTAGATTGATGAGGGAAAAAACAATTTAATCAATTTTAGAATTAGGCTGTAACGTAACAAAATGTGGAAAAAGTCTAGGGGTCTGAATACTTTCCGAATGCGCTGTAGGGTTTCAAGCTTATAAAAGTTAAAGAAATAAAATAATAAGATTAAGCCAGTGGCTTAGATCGAACTATCCAAGTAATAGATACATCTCCTTTAAAATGTTGATATTTTGTTGCATTGTCAACCAAACACAATTCAATATTACTTTTGTAAGACAGTAAATAGCTTAATGTTAAGGCTATCGTACAAACTAATGTAACAGTATTTATTCAACCTTAAAATTGGTAACACATCCATGGCCACATTTTGAGGTTACTGTAACATGAAATGTTCTGTGGAAATCTTCACAATTGCTACAATAATCTGAACAGAATCTCAAACGGCATTGGTCACTTGTACCATGTAGTTTAATGTAATCTCAATTGCAATCCAGGTCATTTGGTTGTGCTATTAGATTAAGCACATTGATAACACATTAAGTTGTTGTATAAATAAACAAAATATCTGACATTGTATTCCCATTTGAACGTTGTTGTGCTTTTCAATGGTTGAAAGCGCATTGATAACACATTTAGGTGACAACTAAACCAGAAATCAGACATTGATTTTTCATTGGGAATTCAACAAACTTTTTGTGTGGGTGAAAATAGGGTGGAATCTCATTGATCAATGCATCTACCAAATATTACCCAATTCTCCACGTTGAAATGATGTGGTGTGCCCAGTGGGATGTATCATTATGGATAATTGGGGAGCATTTGGCCTCAGGAATGAAGGATTTGAAAATATCATTATCAACTGTAATTCCGCTTTACTTATGAATATCAAGGTGAACAGATGGCATTGATGATTCTCCATGTTCTCTCCCTTTCATCCTGCCTTAGAGTCCTTCCAGGTGGTAGTGAAAGGAAATGGTTTCTCACATGCCCGCGAGGTGGGGAAGGTCCTTTGTAGCTTCCGCATCAACGACACTCTTACTTTGAGTAAGTGGACGTTACGGTACCTACAATTTACCGACCATTAACCTTAATGAATCCCATCAGCAACACCTCTGTTTTTAATGAGCTGGGAAGAATCTCTAACTTTCACACAAGGTTCTTAGTGCAGGGTAATGAGGCTTAGAAAGATATATGTTTCAGCAATGTCACAGTGAGTTAGTTGGCTGTTATTGACTGTGACTGCGAAACAGGCAAATACAAAAGAGAAGGATTTCAACCATCCTGAACGAAAGAGCCTAAAGGAATGAGCCTGAAAGAATGCTCATTAGATCAAACAGGCACCAGTTGGGTTCTCAAGACAATTTCTGCCTGTCTTCTGTTCCTCACTTAACCAATTCATTGGTCCAATGTAGAACAGCAGTATCCCACAAGGTGCCCTACACATGACAGAACATTGGACAATGGACCAAGAAAGGACTTCTTTGCACTTGTGGCACAAAGCTTTTGATGCAAGAGATTACCCTCGCTCCAAAGTTGCAAACCACTGTCTGGTTGCAAATTCCACACCAATGTAGTCGGCAGCAGTGCACAAACAGATCTGAGTTGGAGATGTAATGTGCTTTCTTTGTTCCTTTCACTCATCCAAAACGGATCTAGCACATCTGCTCTAGGCTCAGTGCCTCTGATAAGCTAGGTAGAAGGCTCTCTGAAGCTTTAAAGGTAAGGGTTTATTTAATCCAGAATCTTCAAATGGATCAGGGACTTGCAATAATATCCGTTGATTAGCAATATTCAGTAGAGAGTAGTCCAATTCTTTACACTGAAGAGACATTTCTGCATTCTTCCCTGAGGCATTACGGGAGGTGGGGCTACGTTTGCCTTGGCCACAAGGAAGAGGGGGTTATATCATGCACACTGTTATTACAAATACCCCCCCCCCCCACACACACACACACACACAAACACACACACACTTTGCTTCATCTGGTTGAATACTTAAGGCTTCTCAGATGTACAGCGGGAATGTGGATCTTATATGCCATGTGCACACACTGGACGTTCTCTCGGCCAGGGTAAATAAACCACACTCACTCTGAAGGATTTCAGTTGCTTCATTTTCCACAAGTAAAGGGCCACAAAGACAACAACAAAGGAATTTTCACAATTTGTTTCAAAGTATTTCAATTTCAACTATACTCTTTAAAACACTCTTTGATCTACAACTCTTTGAAACTATGATACTTTAACTGAGATACACAGTTAAATTAATAGCACCGTTTGTTAATTAATTAGCTACTGTACTGTATTTTGATTTTATTTTTGTTTTTATTTCCATGCACCTCTCGCTGGATGCATAGCTATAGGATGTATAATCAGGGACATTATCCACTGTATACAGTATTAGGTAGTTTTTTATATATACACATAATACAAAGCATTCTCTTCTATAACCCATAGTGAAAAGACCATTGGTCGTGAGAGACACCTACCTGCTGTGTCCAGCTCCAATATTGGAGGAGGAGGGGACGTAAGTGACTGTTTAACTCTCACATCCTCACTGCTTTAATTGATGCATGCCAAACCCAACTCATGAAATGCTAAGATAAACTTATACACTATCAGTCAAAAGTTTGGACACACCTACTCATTCAAGGGTTTTTCTTTATTTGTACTATTTTTTACATTGCGGTCCGACTCATCCGAAACCATCTCAATTTGGTTGAGGTCGGGGGATTGTGGAGGCCAGGTCATCTGATGCAGCACTCCATCACTCTCCTTCTTGGTAAAATAGCCCTTACACAGCCTGGAGGTGTGTCGGGTCATTGTCCTGTTGAAAAACAAATGATAGTCCCACTAAGCCCAAACCAGATGCGATGGCGTATTGCTGCAGAATGCTGTGGTAGACATGCTGGTTAAGTGTGCCTTGAATTCTAAATAAATCACAGACAGTATCACCAGAAAAGCACCCCCACACCATAACACCTCCTCCTCCATGCTTTACGGTGGTAAATACACATGCGGAGATCATCTGTTCACCCACACCGCATCTCACAAAGACACGGCGGTTGGAACCAAAAACCTCAAATATGGACCCCAGACCAAATTTCCACCGGTCTAATGTCAATTGCTTGTGTTTCTTGGCCCAAGCAGGTCTCTTCTTCTTATTGGTGTCCTTTAGTAGTGGTTCCTTTATGAAGGCCTGATTCACTCAGTGACTCTCAGATCCACCTCTACGCAGACGACACCATTTTGTATACATCTGGCCCTTCATTGGACACTGTGTTAACAAACCTCCAAACGAGCTTCAATTCCATACAACACTCCTTCAGTAGCCTCCAACTGCTCTTAAACACTAGTAAAACTAAATGCATGCTCTTCAACCGAACGCTACTTGCACCCGCCCACCCGACTAGAATCACTACTCTCGACGGGTCTGACCTAGAGTATGTGGACAACTACAAATATCTAGGTGTCTGGTTAGACTGTAAACTCTCCTTCCAGACTCACATTAAGAATCTCCAATCCAAAGTTAAATCTAGAATCGGTTTCCTATTTCGCAACAAAGCCTCCTTCACTCATGCTGCCAAACATGCCCTCGTAAAACTGACTATCCTACCGATCCTTGACTTCGGCGATGTCATTTACAAAATAGCCTCCAACACTCTACTCAGCAAATTGGATGTAGTCTATCACAGTGCCATCCGTTTTGTCTCCAAAGCCCCATATAATACCCACCACTGTGACCTGTACGCTCTTGTTGGCTGGTCCTCACTACATATTTGTCGCCAAACCCACTGGCTCCAGGCCATCTATAAATCACTGCTAGGCAAATCCCCGCCTTATCTTAGCTCATTGGTCACCATAGCAACACCCACCCGTAGTCTGCGCTCCAGCGGTATATCTCACTGGTCATCCCCAAAGCCAACACCTCCTTTGGCCGCAATTCCTTCCAGTTCTCTGCTGCCAATGACTGGAACAAATTGCAAAAATCTCTGAAGCTGGAGACACTTATCTCCCTCACTAACTTTAAGCATCAGTTGTCAGAGCACCTTACCGATCACTGCACCTGTACACAGCCCATCTGAAATTAGCCCGCCCAACTACCTCATCCCTATATTGTTATTTATTTTGCTCATTTGTACCCCAGTATCTCTATTTGCACATCATCTCTTGCACATCTATCATTCCAGTGTTAATACTAATTGTAATTATTTTGCACTATAGCCTATTTTATTGCCTTACCTCCATAACTTGCTAAATTTGCACACACTGTATATTATATGTATTTCTGTTGTATTTTTGACTTTGTTTTGTTTTACCCCATATGTAACTCTGTGTTGTTGTTTTTATCGCACTGCTTTGCTTTATCTTGGCCAGGTCGCAGTTGTAAATGAGAACTTGTTCTCAACTGGTTTACCTGGTTAAATAAAGGTGAAATAAAAATAAAATAAAAAAAGTCCCCTCTGAACAGTTGATGTTGAGATATGTCTGTTACTTGAACTCTGTGAAGCATTTATTTGGGCTGCAATTTCTGAGGCTGGTAACTGTAATGAACTTATCCTCTGCAGCAGAGGTAACTCTGGGTCTTCCATTCCTGTGGCGGTGTCAAGGGGTGCTGAAGGTGGGTGTGGTGCATGAATCAAGCGCAGGACGCAGAAGCTCAGTCCAAAATACTTTAGTGCAATATTCACGTAGAAAATAAGCACAATAAGCCCGAAGGCGAAATAACGGCGCACACAGGCGTCAAACAAACGGCGCACTAACATGTGCGAAAAACCTCTCCAAAACACTGGAGGGAAGTACGTAGCTCCAACACAAAACAGAAGAGCAATCACACACAAAGACAAACACACACAACGAGAACTAAATAGGACACTAACGAGGACTAACAAGACACAGGTGTACAACATCAAGATAAAACCAAACGAACATGAAACATAGATCGGTGGCAGCTAGTACTCCGGGGACGACGACCGCCGAAGCCTGCCCGAACCAGGAGGAGGAGCAGCCTCGGCCGAAACCGTGACAGTACCCCCCCCCCCCCTTGACGCGCGGCTCCAGCCGTGCGCCGACCCCGGCCTTGGAGACGACCAGGAGGACGCGGAGCAGGGCGCGCGGGATGGTCCCGGTGGAACTCCGACAGGAGAGATGGGTCTAGGATGTCCCTCCGCGGCACCCAGCACCGCTCCTCCGGGCCGTACCCCTCCCACTCCACGAGATACTGGAGACCCCCCATCCGGCATCTTGAGTCCAAGATGGACCGAACGGTGTACGCCGGAGCCCCCTCGATGTCCAGTGGGGGCGGAGGAGTCTCCCCTATCTCATTGTCCTGGAGTGGACCAGCTACCACCGGCCTGAGAAGAGACACATGGAACGAGGGGTTAATATTCTTATACTCAACAGGTAGATGTAACCTATAACACACCTCGTTCAATCTTCTCAGGACTTTAAAGGGCCCCACAAACCGCCGACCCAGCTTCCGGCAGGGCAGGCGGAGGGGTAGGTTTCTGGTAGAGAGCCAGACTCGATCTCCGGGTGCGTACACCGGCCCCTCACTGCGGTGGAGATCGGCGCTCGCCTTGTGACGAAGGACGGCCCGCTGCAGGTGGACGTGGGCAGCGTTCCACGTCTCTTCCGAGCGCCTAATCCAATCATCCACCGCAGGGGCCTCGATCTGGCTCTGCTGCCCAGGTGCCAGAACCGGCTGGTAACCTAACACACATTGGAAGGGGGTTAGGTTGGTAGAGGAGTGGCGGAGAGAGTTCTGGGCCATCTCGGCCCAGGGAATGTACCGTGCCCACTCCTCCGGCCGGCCCTGGCAATACGACCTCAGAAACCTACCCACATCCTGGTTGACACGTTCTACCTGCCCGTTACTCTCCGGGTGGTACCCTGAGGTAAGGCTAACCGAGACCCCCAAACGCTCCATGATCGCTCTCCAAACACGGGAGGTAAACTGGGGGCCTCGATCAGACACTATATCCTCGGGTACCCCGTAATGCCGGAAGACGTGGGTAAATAGGGCCTCAGCGGTCTGTAGGGCAGTAGGAAGACCCGACATAGGGAGAAGACGACAGGCCTTAGAGAACCGGTCCACAACGACCAGGATGGTGGTATTCCCCTGAGAGAGGGGAAGGTCTGTCACAAAATCCACCGAGAGGTGGGACCATGGTCGTTGTGGAACAGGCAGGGGTTGTAACTTACCCCTGGGCAGATGTCAGGGCGCCTTACACTGGGCGCACACCGAGCAGGAGGAGACATAAACCCTCACATCCCTAGCCAAAGTGGGCCACCAGTATTTAGTGCTAAGGCAATGCACTGTCCGGCCAATACCCGGATGTCCAGAGGAGGGTGACGTGTGAGTCCAGTAAATGAGTCGATCCCGAATCTCCGAGCGTAACGTACTTCCGACCCATCAGGACACTGTGGAGGGCTGGGGTCGGTAGCAACGCTCGCTCGATTTCGGCATCGACCTCCCACACCACCGGTGCCACAAGGCAAGACTCCGGTAGTATGGGAGTAGGCTCAACGGACCTCTCCTCCGTGTCATACCGCCGGGACAGCGCATCTGCCTTACCATTCTGGGACACGCGGATGTACGTCGATTTTAAATTCACGATGACCCTGTGGGAGGATTAAACAATACCTATCATTCTCGCCGCCACCGGTGCTGCCCGGCTCCCGGGCGGCCCCGGATAGACCGCGTTTTCAGTCTCCTCGCTGCCGGATGTTACTCCGGTTCCCGCCACCCCTGTCAGTCTACCAAATTCATGGATGGGCTATAGGGTTGTGTTGAGCCCCCTCTTAAGCCAAGCCTCAACCTTAAGGGCTTTGTTAACTCAGCTACATGCTTTCCCCTGTCCTACCAACGTTTTCATTTGTACGCTAGCCGTGGTCTGTTAGCTTTTTTTGCGTAAAAAGTAAATAGGGGCGGAGTTAGGGGTATGGCCCCGTGACTCGTTGTATTTTTGAGAGATATGATCGGCCCTTTATACCAGCTCAGATGCGTTTCTTACTTTCTCAACGTGATATAGGGTAATGCGGGCGATCCCCGTTATTTTTTTTCTTTTGCTGTCACTCTTACTCCGCAACAGGTAACGCCGACCGTAAAAGTAAACAGGCCCTTAGTGCCCCATATTGGTCACTTGTACGCATCACGCTGTACACTGCATTTGAGGCAGATCCGGATCCCACTGTCAGACAGGGATTCGTGAGGTGATGCTGCCACCCTGTCCAATAACTACGGACTAAATTATAACCTCCGTGTAGTTACATTCGCAAAGCCCAAGAAACCTGACTGAACCCTCTTTACTAGTGTGTGTTGGTCCAGATGTTTGACTTTATTTCACGCACAGCGGACACAAGATTCATATCCTCAATTCTCACCCCTGACAGGGACAACCGATACCCAAAAAGGTACCCAGACCTTCCTGGAAAAAGTCTATGACATTTCTCGTGCTTTCTTGACGATTATAGGCTCCGTGCTCCATTCAGCCGCTCATAGTAATAAGATCGCATCCACTGTGGTTTAATTGCCTAGGCTCGGTGTACTGATCAAGTAACCATGATCACCCTGTCATCCATTGACACGACACCCTTGTCCTATGTCATTTCCATTTGGAGTAAACCATGTATATACGAAGTAGTTGGCGCAAGACTTTGATGGAGCTATTCAGCATAAACCGATTTTTAGGTGCATGATTCGGATAGAATTCAAAATGACCCCTGGACTGTTTTTTTTTCGTTCCCCGGTTACATATACAAGCTTGTCTGCCATGTGTCGCCCTGTCCACTAATGCTGCACCCAAGTGATTACGCGCTCCTATTGATAGAATCCCATAATGCCTTCGTGAAATAACACTTGAGCTGCCCCAGTCCGCAATGACTCCGTCATGGTCGCAATCAGAGGGAGTGATAAACTGTACTCTCACATGTATATCCTATGAAGGGCATGACTCAATCGGAATCAAATGCCTCCACGTGCGCACCACACCCGTCTCACTCACTTGTCTTACCTTCAGAAAAACGATATACTCGAGATGGCCCCCCGGGGAGGAAGTGGAGGTCCATGATATTTATCCAACCTGTCTCAAAGATTGGGATGTAAGTCTCTTTTCCTATAGCACTTTCCTTTCTCTTATTGAGACAAAGGATTTACATTCGCTGCCCCGCTCTGGAGATGCGCTGCTCTGCTCTGGTTCTCCCGAGTACAATATGAAATAATCATTCCGTGTCTATGCAGGAGGCAACTGGTCGCCCACTGTAGTTTACTAAACTACTTGACCGAGCTAAACCCATATATTTAAGTTGCTGGATGCTATGTGTCGTTAGTATCTGGTGCATCATTGGTTGGATTCTTCTCTACATTTACCAAAGTTTTCTCCCCCACGGGATAAACCACACATGTGACTATCGCTACCATCGCCACCCTGAGGCAAAGCACCACCATTCGATGTACCCGCCTACCTCTGTGTACACGAAATAATAGCAGGGTTTATGGGTTGCAAAACTATAGGGATTATTCAGCACCTCTGTGGCGTACGCAGGGGAGAGTCGATTCAGATACAGCTTTGTATTAGTCTCTTCATGACACCTCTCCCGCGCATCACATTACTAATGTGGCCCTTGCCTTTTTGGATCTGCCCTAATCAATCCCCCGGTACTCCAACTGGTTGATGCTGGCTATCTACTTGGTTTCCCTCCCATGAAACGGGGAAAAGGTTTGTTAATAAAAGCCCCGGCCTAGGAGAGGGATCTTCCCCTTCCCTCAAACTCATACAAAAACCTCCGTTCCCTATCCACACCCACAAATTTCTCCAGGCTGTACTGAAATCTCCACTCCAGCGCCTCATGTCTGGGTAATGAGGTGCAACCATGGGAAAAATTTTACACACAGGTTATACATAGAATTTTCCTGGCGCACAACAGAAAGATCTGGTGTAAGGGGTAGTCTACTTTCCACCGGGCAGGCAATACCCAGTAGCGTTTGCCTGTTGTTGATTCTCACAAGTTGAGAACCCTCTAAAACACACGCCACCTATCTCCTCCTTGGTCCCTACGCAGCGCTGCCCCCATCACTAGTACCTTTTTCTCCCTATCGCATCTGCTGTAACGCCGAGGTATCAGGCCCCCCTACTTGCGGATTAATTCCTCAATTACTTTTAATCTGTCAGCGAACGGCACCACCCCACACCAGAGCTCTTAATAGGGCTGTTCCCCTCTGGATAGGTACCATTTTTCTTCTCGTCCCCCCGGTGCCTGTGCTGGGCTGCCCAACCCCTAGGGACGCCCCATCGGGACGTCCTTTAACGGTCGTCTTGAGCCCCTTTATGAAGGGTTGCTCCGTACGCCCCATGGACATATCGACCAACTGTTCGAAGGGAGTTATCCCAGCGCGTATCTAGCAGGCCACATACTCGTTTGAACCAGTTCCTCCCGCTATGTACATCTGATAAATTTGGCGTGTATGAGGGTTGCTTAATGTTTCATCACTACCCATATGAGTTCATTAGCTGCTAGAGTACCCCGCGACTACTACTATGAGCATACAGCTATCTCGTGTTGCTGTTTCTTCCTTCCTTCACCCGTCTTAGCGCCCCTGGATTTTTAGACGCTCCTCAGCCTGACTTTTGACCCACTCCTATTGGGGCATGGTAGAACCGATCCGCGCTCTGAAGTTTGCGCGGGTATGACTTGCGGCTCGCCTTAGCGACTTTATTGTTTTTGGTGTGGTGTGCTCGCCATCCCCGTCTCCCAACGCGGAGCTCTAGCACCATTTTCCCAACGCCTTGAGTGAGACAGGGAGATGTATGGGCGGACATCTCGTCTGTCTTGTCTCTCTAGGTGTTGCCTTCCAAAGCGTTGTGTAACAGTGGCAGCGTCTTTTTAGACCGCCTCCACTGACAGGAGTCCCCCAAACCCCCTACCTGAACCCTGCAGTCTTTGCCCGTTCATAAGCCCTCCTTGGGTGAGATGAGTTAGCCGAACCATTTGGGTTACGGTATCATGGTGTAGAGTGGTATATGTGTGGATTGGTGTAGCGCCGCGTCAACCCCCGCGGTTTTCCCTTCTGTAGCCGTGGGAGGTCCCTTCCTTTCCTCCCTCTCCCCCTTCCGTGGGGTACCCCGCTGATTTCCCATTAGTCGCTGCTGAGGTGATCGTTGGATTACGTCTCCTGTTAGAGCGCGTCCCCAGTTGTCGATCTGGTCATCTGGCCGCGAACATGCTCTCGTGCGACTCAGCGTAGCTGCAAGACTACTGCTGATTCCATTTTGGTGTTGGATCTGTCAAGGGGTGCTTGAAGTGGGAGTGGTGCATGAATCAAGCGCAGGACGCAGAAGCTCAGCCAAAAGACTTTAGTGCATATTCAAGTTTAGAAAAATAAGCACAAAGCCCGAAGGCGAAATAACGGCGCACACAGGGTCAAACAAACGGCGCACTAACATGTGCGAAAAACCTCTCCAAAAAACACTGGAGGAAGTAGTTAGCTCGCAACACAAACAGGAAGAGCAATCACACACAAAAATACAACCACACACAACAAGAACGAAATAGGACAACTAACGAGGACTAACAAGACAAAGGTGTACAACATCAAGACCCAAAAACCAAACGGAACATGAAACATAGATACGGTGGCAGCTAGTACTTCCGGGGAACGGGACCGCGAAAGCCTGCACGACCAGGGAGGAGGAGCAGCCTCGGCCGACGAAACCGTGAACAGACGGTCACTCATGAGAGCCCAGTTTCCTCATAGCGTTTGAGGTTAGTTGCGACTGCACTTGGAAAGTCTTGAAATGTCCGTATTGACGACCTTCATGTTCTTAAAGTAATGATGGGCTGTCGGTTTCTCTTGATGATTGGAGTGTTCTTGCCTAATATGGACTTGGTCTTTTACCAAATAGGGTATTCTCTTATAACCCCCCTACCTTGTCACAACACAAACTGATGGCTCAAACGCATTAAGAAGGAAAGAAATCACAAATTAAATTTAACAAGGCCACCTGTTAATGAAAGCATTTCCAGGTGGACTACCTCAGGAGGCGGTTGAGAGGATGCCAAGAGGGTTGCAAAAGCTGCTCAAGGCAAGGGATGGCTATTTGAAGAATCCACAAATATAAAAGATATTTGATTTGTTGAAAACTATTGGGTTACTACCATTGATTCCATATGTGTATTTCTAGTTTGATGTCTTCACTATATTATACAATGTACTGTAGAACATAGTAAAAATAAAGAAAAACCTTGAATGAGTAGGTGTGTCCAAACAGTGACTGGTATGCATAGTATTTACCCCATCATTACCCACAATTACATCTCCTGCTTTCAATCCTATTTTCTCAGAAAAGCAGCTATCGTCGGCTTGAATGAAAACAGAGATGTGTTGAAGGATAGCTATTTAAGAGCAAATAACCAAACAGGCAGGTATGGATCCCCTCTCACCTCACCTCTCCTGCCTCTCTTCCTCACCTTCCTCTCACCTCCCTCAGGGCAGCTACCCTCCACGTCAGTTATGAACAATGGCCTGAGTTTCATATATAGTCCGTCACCATCACCACTGTCAGCTGTGTAAGTATCATAACCCCTCACACACCCTTACACAGTGTTCTTTAATGTGTGGCTCATTTTAAGTTACTGTACTCTTCCATGTCTAGTCCTGGGAGGTAATATAGATTTGGTTCAAGCACAGGCTTTTTTAGTTTATGTACAACAGGGTCTGACCTATTTTCCGATCTCGGCACTACCCCAGTCTGATTGGGAGTTCTTGGCCATAGCTAGCTAATTCCTGCGGCTCTGCTGATGCTGTCTGCTCTGGTGGTTTCTGGCCATCTCTGCTGCACCAGTGGTATTGCAGCCCATACTTTTTGATCATTTCGTGAAGTGGGGTGAGCATAGGATATTGCCTTACGCAGCCGTTATTTGTCCATGAGATTTGTGTTTGTGTTATCTACAGTACCCTGTTAAAACCAAACACACAAAAAAAAATTGAATATAGCGCTAGGTATAGTAAAAGTCTCACAACCCCGTGCACATCTTCAAGTTTTGGCTGCCTTAAGAAATCACATCTTAAAAAGGATTCAAGTGAACTTTTTCACACCCCAGACAGAGTTAATACGTCAGGCCATCACAGCTGTGCATTAAATTTAAATAAGATTCTACCAACTGTGCACAACTATTAGGTGTAACATAACTGAGTATACAAACATTAGGAACACCTTCCACTAATAGTGAGTTTGCAACCCCCCTTCGCCTCAGAACAGCACTCATTAAGCGGGTCTGGACCTCTACAAGGTGTCGAAAGCATTCCACGGGATGCTGGCCCCATTTGGACCAGGCTCCCACAGTTGTGTCAGTTGGCTAGAGTGTCCTTTTGGTTGATGGACCACCCTTGAGACACCACAGGAACGCGTTGGCCGTGAAAAACCCAGCAGCGTTGCAGTTCTTGACCACAAACGGTGCGCATTATGCACCTAACTTTACCATAGCGTTCAAGGGCACTTAATATTTTGCGTCTTGCCCCATTCACCCTCGGAATGGCCACACATACACCAATCCAGTTGTCATTGTCTTCAAGGGCTTTAAAAAATTTTCCCGTATTTACGGAGTCCCCTCCCCTTCATATAAAAAGGATTGTGGGGGCGTTTTGTTAGACCTCAGTGCGATGTTGACATTATCGATGAGGTTCTGCTTGCTGGGAAGAACGATGTGTTATGGCTTACACCTCTGCTTATAATGTGGAAAATAGTACTTGTCTAACAGAACAAGAGGGTGGGTTTTAAGGAAAGCCTCTCAAAACATAAATCCAGGTAGAATCCAGGATTCCCCAGGGCAGCTGTCTAGGCCCCTTGCTTTTTCCATCTGTACTAAACGACATTTGTGCCAAATGGCTTGAGTAAAGCCGTGTGTTCTATGTATGCGGTATGACTCAACACTTATTACAGTCAGCTACACAGCAACTGAAATAACTGCAAACACTTAACAAAGAGTTGCAGGTAGTTTCAGAAGGGTGGCAAGGAAAATTTGCTGAACTGACTATTTCCAAACAAAAGCATTTGTATTTGGGTAAATCATCCATAAACCCTAAACATTTCAATACATCTCGTCAATGAATACTGCTGGAAATTGAGCAAGTGTGAGGTTTGTCAAACTGCTTGGCGTAAACCGGATTGTTAGACTGTCATGGTTAAAGCATATTGATACAACAGTAGTTAAGATGGGGAGAAGTTATTGTCCATATATTAAGCGCGGCTCTGCCGTCGTAACAACACTATCACAAGGGCAGGTCCTACAGCCTAGTTTGTCGCACCTGGAAATACTGTCAGTAGTGTGGTAAGGTTGCCACAAAGAGGGACTGGGGAAAATTCGCAGTTGGCTCAGAAAGGGCAGCACGGCGGCCCTAAAAGTACACGGGAGCGCTAACATTGATTGACAGGCATGTCAGTCTCTCCTGCTCAAGCGGGAAGAGAGATTGGACTTCAAATCATCTGCTTGTTTTGGTGAGAGGTGTCGACCACGAGCGAATGTACCGAGACTGTGGGGGGTCGTCTGTTGGAATAAGACACACCAGCTCGGAACCCCATGCCATACCCCCACAAGACATGCACCCGAGGGTCTCTTCACAGTCCCAAGTTCAGGAACGGGATATGGGAGGCGCACAGTACTACAGAGAGCAGACTAATGGACTTCTAGTCCACATCAGGTAAGATGCAAGCAGTAGAATCAGATTAGAAAAAAACAGGTAAAAAACACCTTGTGAACAGCGAGGGGGGGACTGTTGAGAGAAACACACACAGGTTACCTGACACACATACATGAACCCACCACTTTACACACACAGGGAGGTGGGTATTGTAAATATGTTGATAGGGGATGTGGCCTGCGCGAAACACACTGAAATGTATGTGGTAAAGGTTATGAAATAGAAGGCATGGAATATCTTTAAATTGATATAACTGCCTGAATGTTGGCCGGACCCCAGGAAGAGCTAAGGGGATCCTTAATAAATACATATACAAGAAAATCTACACGGATTGAAGTGATTAACAGCGAGATCATAAGGGCTCACCTGGTCAGCTATGTCATGGAAAGAGGCAGTTCTTACTTGTTTTGTATATTCAGGTATATATACAGTGTTTTTGTAAAAATGCCTCAAGTTCAGTAAAGTTGGTGGGAATAATGTTGGACATTTCAATATTCAAAACATGTCCTCCTGATTTTCAAGCAGTTTGCCCCCGTGGATGGCGAACCGGCTTAAGCGGGGGAGAACTCGGCGTAGGGATGTGTTGGCTCCATCTTCCTCCACTCGGCGTTAGCCCACTCCAACGCCTTGCCCGTGAGACAGGAGATGAGGGCGGAAACGCTCCTCGTGTCCCGAGGGCAACCGGGTGTACAGTGGCCAGGTAGAGCTCCACCTGCAGGAGGAACCCTGACACCCGGCAGCTGTTCCGTCATACGCCCTCGGGAGCGAGAGCCGAATCCCACTGGGTTCCGGACCTGGTGAGAGGGTATAGGTGGAGGTGTGGGTACCCCGGGTAGGTGGAGGTGTGGGGTACCCCGCTGGCCTCCCATCGGTGCAGGGTGTTGATGACGTCCTGTAGAGCGGTCCCCCAGTTGTCGTATCTGGTCATCTTGGCCGCGAACATGCTCCTCGAGCGACTCAGGCGTAGCTGCAGATCCTGCTGATTCCATTTTGGTGTGTGATTCTGTCAAGGGGTGCTGAAGGTGGGTGTGGTGCATGAATCAAGCGCAGGACGCAGAAGCTCAGTCCAAAAGACTTTAGTGCAATATTCACGTAGAAAATAAGCACAATAAGCCCGAAGGCGAAATAAACGGCGCACACAGGCGTCAAACAAACGGCGCACTAACATGTGCGAAAAACCTCTCCAAAACACTGGAGGGAAGTACGTAGCTCCAACACAAAACAGAAGAGCAATCACACACAAAGACAAACACACACAACAAGAACTAAATAGGACACTAACGAGGACTAACAAGACACAGGTGTACAACATCAAGACAAAACCAAACGAACATGAAACATAGATCGGTGGCAGCTAGTACTCCGGGGACGACGACCGCCGAAGCCTGCCCGAACCAGGAGGAGGAGCAGCCTCGGCCGAAAACCGTGACAGGCGGTCCTCATGAGAGCCAGTTTCATCATAGCGTTTGATGGTTTTTGCGACTGCACTTGAAAGTTCTTGAAATGTTCCGTATTGACTGACCTTCATGTCTTAAAGTAATGATGGGCTGTCGTTTCTCTTTGCTGATTTGAGCTGTTCTTGCCATAATATGGACTTGGTCTTTTACCAAATAGGGCTATCTTCTGTATAACCCCCCTACCTTGTCACAACACAACTGATTGGCTCAAACGCATTAAGAAGGAAAGAAATTCCACAAATTAACTTTTAACAAGGCACACCTGTTAATTGAAATGCATTCCAGGTGACTACCTCATGGAGCTGGTTGAGAGAATGCCAAGAGTGTGCAAAGCTGTCATCAAGGCAAAGGGTGGCTATTTGAAGAATCTCAAATATAAAATATATTTTGATTTGTTTAAAACTTATTTGGTTACTACATGATTCCATATGTGTTATTTCATAGTTTTGATGTCTTCACTATTATTATACAATGTACTGTAGAAAATAGTAAAAATAAAGAAAAACCCTTGAATGAGTAGGTGTGTCCAAACCTTTGACTGGTACTGCATATTATTTTACCCACTCATTACCCACAATTACATCTCCCTTGCTTTCAAGTCATATTTTCTCAGAAAAGCAGCTATCGTCGGTCTCTGAAATGAAAACAGAGATGTGTTGAAGGATAGATATTAGAGCAAAATAAACAAACAGTGCAGGTAATTATACCCTCTCACCTCACCTCTCCCTGCCTCTCTTCCCTCACCTTCCTCTCACCTCCCTCAGGGCAGCTACCCTCCACGTCAGTATGAACAATGGCCTGAGTTTCATATCTAGTTCCGTCACCATCACCACTGTCAGCTGTGTAAGTATCAACCCCTCACCACCTCTCTACACAGTGTTGTTCTTCTAATTGTGTGGCTCATTTTAGTACTGTACTCTTCCATGTCTATTCCTGGGAGGTAATATAGCTTGTGTTCAAGCACAGACTTTAGTTTATGTACACCAGGTTCTGACCTTATTTCCTATCTCGGCCTACCCCAGTCTGATGGGACGTTCTTGGCCATAGCTCTGCTCATCCTGCTGCTCCTGCTGATGCTGGCTCTGCTCTGGTGGTTCTGGCCTCTCTGCTGCACAGTGGTATGTCAGCCATACTTTTTGTAATCATTTCGTGAAGTGTGTGTGCGCATTAGGATATTGCATTACGCAGCAGTATTTGTTCATGAGATTGTGTTTTATCTACAGTACCTGTAAAACCAAACACACAAAAATGAATATAGTCGCTAGTAAAAGTCTACACACCCCTTGCACAGTCTTCAAGTTTTGCTGCCTTAAAATCACATCTAAAAAGGGATTCAAGTAGAACTTTTTTCACACCCCAGAGTTAATACTGTCAGCCATCACAGCTGTGCATAATTTTAAATAAGATTCTACCAACTTTGCACAACTCTTAGGGTAACATACACTGAGTATACCAAACATTAGGAACACCTTCCTAATATTGAGTTGCAACCCCCCTTTCGCCCTCAGAACAGCCTCAATTCATCGGGTCATGGACTCTACAAGGTGTCGAAAGCATTCCACAGGGATGCTGGCCCATGTTGACCAATGCTTCCCACAGTTGTGTCAAGTTGGCTAGATGTCCTTTTGGGTTGATGGACCACCCTTGATACACACAGGAAACTGTTGAGCGTGAAAAACCCAGCAGCGTTGCAGTTCTTGACACAAACCGGTGCGCCTGGCACCTACTACCATATCCTGTTCAAGGGCACTTAAATATTTTGTCTTGCCCATTCACCCTCTGAATGGCACACATACACAATCCATGTGTCAATTGTCTCAAGGCTTAAAAATCCTTATTTTACCGGTCCCCTCCCCTTCATCTAAAAAGGATTGTGGGGGCTGTTTTGTTAGACCTCAGTGCGACTTTTGACATTATCGATGATAGTCTGCTGCTGGAAAAACGTATGTGTTATGGCTTTACACCCTCTGCTATAATGTGGATAAATAGTTACTTGTCTAACAGAACACAGAGGGTGGTCTTTAATGGAAGCCTCTCAAACATAATCCAGGTAGAATCAGGAATTCCCCAGGGCAGCTGTCTAGGCCCCTTGCTTTTTTCCATCTTTACTAACGACATGCCACTGGCTTTGAGTAAAGCCAGTGTGTCTATGTATGCGGATGACTCAACACTATACACGTCAGCTACTACAGCAACTGAAATAACTGCAACACTTAACAAAGAGTTGCAGTTAGTTTCAGAATGGGTGGCAAGGAATAATTTAGTCCTGAATATTTCCAAAACTAAAAGCATTGTATTTGGGTCAAATCATTCACTAAACCCTAAACCTCAATTACATCTCGTAATGAATAATGTGGAAATTGAGCAAGTTGAGGTGTCAAACTGCTTGGAGTAACCCTGGATTGTAGACTGTCATGGTTAAAGCATATTGATACAACAGTAGCTAAGATGGGGAGAAGTATGTCCATAATTAAGCGCGGCTCTGCCTTCTTAACAACACTATCATCAAGGCAGGTCCTACAGGCCCTAGTTTTGTCGCACCTGGACTACTGTTCAGTAGTGTGGTCAGGTGCCACAAAGAGGGACTTGGGAAAATTGCAGTTGGCTCAGAACAGGGCAGCACGGCTGGCCCTTAAAAGTACACGGAGCGCTAACATTGATGACATGCATGTCAGTCTCTCCTGGCTCAGAGTGGAAGAGAGATTGACTTCATCACTGCTTGTTTTTGTGAGAGGTGTCGACGAGCTGAATGTACCGAGCTGTCTGTTTGGAATACTGACACACAGCTCGGACACCCATGCATACCCCACAAGACATGCCACCAGAGGTCTCTTCACAGTCCCCAAGTTCAGAACGGACTATGGGAGGCGCACAGTACTACATAGAGCCATGACTACATGGAATTCTATTCCACATCAGGTAACTGATGCAAGCAGTAGAATCAGATTAGAAAAACAGGTAAAAATACACCTTGTGGAACAGCGGGGACTGTGAAGAGACACACACACAGGTACATACACACATACATAGACACTCACTTTACACACACATGGATGTTGTATTGTAAATATGTGATAGTGGAGTAGTGGCCTGAGGGAACACACTAAATGTATTGGGTAAAGTGTTATGAAATATAATGGCATGTAATATTTTAAATTGTATATAACTGCCTTAATGTTGCAGGACCCCAGGAAGAGCTAATGGGGATCCTTAATAAATACATATACAAAAATCTACACTGATTGAAGTGGATTTAACAAGTGAGATCAATAAGGGATCACCTGGTCAGTCTATGTCATGGAAAGAGCAGTTCTTAATGTTTTGTATACTCAGTATATATACATTGTTTTTGTAAAAATTGCTCAAGTTCAGTAAATTTGGTTGGGAATAATTGTTGGACATCAATATTCAAACCATGTCTCTGATTTTCAAGCAGGTTTAAGTCAGGACTGAGACTGGACCATTCAGGAACACTCAACACCTCGGAAAGCCATTCTGGTGTGTCTTTGGCATTAAGATGTGTGTAATTGTCCCGCTGAAAAATAAAACTATCCCAGGGTTAGGTTCTCAGAAGACTACGGCAGGTTTTCCTCTAACATTTTACCTGGGCTTTGCTCCTTTCATGTTTTTTTAATCCTGACAAACTCCCCAGTCCCTGTCGGTGACAAGCATACCCATAACATGATGCTGCCACCACAATACTTGAAAATACAGAGGATCAACAACATTGCATTCACTCCACATTACTGGCCTGTATGAAAAAGTGAAAAGAAGGACGGCTGTGTTAAAAACTCCACTCCAAATCATCCATTTTGTTTGCAATAAGGCTGTTAAGTAATACTGCATGACAATACAGCAAATAAACCCTCTGTATTTTCAATGATTGTGCTGGCAGTATCATGTTATGGTTATCTTTGTCACCGGCAGGGACTGGGGAGTTTGTAAGGGTCAAAATAAATATGATAGGATCCAATTAAATCCCTTTTAAAACTAAATTTTAAGGCAGTAAAATGTGAAGACCGTGCAAGGGGTGTGTACTGTAGACTTTCACTAGGCACTGTAGGTAACACATTATCACCCTCTCACATTCAAACTAATTTCCTGCACCCCAGCAGAGACGCTGCCATGTACAGTATGCAGATGGGAAACATCATTTTTCATGATTCAGTCTCTTTTTCCATCTTTGCAGATCATCCATGAGCCTCCACCTCCGGTACTGGAGGACAGCTCAGTGAGTAAATCTTGTAGTCTCATATACTTTGTCTCTAGGCCTGTGCCTCTTGTAGAGTTGAAACATCACTATCATACCCTGTTATCAGGCTCTCTGTGTCTTTCTCGGTCTCCTGTTGTCTGGTCTGAAAACAGCCAGCAGCCTCTGCCTCAAAGAGCTCTGAACCTGTAGGAGCATAATGGGGATTAGACTGAGTTATTGACTCACAGCTGTCATTTTCCATTTTGACCCGACAGAAGCAGACGTTCAGCATAGAGGCATCGCATGTCATCAATCAGAACAACATGAGTTGGTTTCAAAATGTAGCAGGGCATAGGGACTGGTACCGAGGAGGGTACCCACTGGGCACACACTGGTTGAATCAACGTTGTTTCCATGTCATTACAATGAAACATTGCGTTGAACCAATGTGGAATAGACGTTGAATTGACGTCTGTGCCCAGTGGGTAGTGATGGAAGATATTAGAGGCAACACAAAGAGGCATGGTCAGGCTAAATTAGATTTCGCTCTCTCTCTCACACACACACATCTACCAGCCAGCTCTAGCCTGGATTATTATCGGCCTGTCTGCACTGTCTGCACAGCGCGCGATCGACCAAGAACATATCTGATTTTCTGTCGGAATCACTGAATCACTGGACCTTAACACCGGATCATCGCAACTAGCTAGCTGCAACCGAATGGATGTTGTTGGCTAATCACCACCACCCCCGAAGCAAGCACCAGTTAGCCTTGAGCTAGCCTCGAGCCAGGCCCATCTCCCGGCTATCTACCTCTCTGTCAACCGGATGGGACCTCCTAGTGTCGACACGGAGCCCCGCCGATCCATCACGACTGGTCTGCCGACGTAATCGTCTGATGTGGTTTCAACAGGCTTCCCTTTGCAACGACCACGAAGATCCATCTGCTAGCCCCGGCCCGCTAGCACACACAATCAACAGCCGTGCTTCCTGTTCGCCTGTGCTATAGCAGCCATTCGATCTGCTCCCGGACTCACCTATTACTGTTCACTGGACCATATGATCACTCAGCTGCACAGCTGATGCCTGCTGGACAGTTCCTTTACACGGTACCCCCATCCTGTTTATCTGTCCTGTTTATCTGTTTAGCCTCAGCCCAAACTTTCGTCGCCATTACCAGTTGTTGTCTAAGGATCCTGGGACTAAACACCTCCCTCTGCAACTGGATCCTGGACTTCCTGACGGGCCGCCCCCAGGTGGTAAGGGTAGGTAACAACACATCTGCCACACTGATCCTCAACACGGGGGCCCCTCAGGGGTGCGTGCTCAGTCCCCTCCTGTACTCTCTGTTCACCCATGACTGCATGGCCAGGCACGGCTTCAACACCATCATTAAGTTTGCCGACGACACAACAGTGGTAGGCCTGATCACCGACAACGATGAGACAGCCTATAGGGAGGAGGTCAGAGATCTGGCCGTGTGGTGCCAGGACAACAACCTCTCCCTCAACGTGACCAAGACAAAGGAGATGATTGTGGACTACAGGAAAAAAAAGAGGACTGAGCACGCCCCCATTCTCATCGACGGGGCTGTAGTGGAACAGGTTGAGAGCTTCAAGTTCCTTGGTGTCCACATCACCAACGAACTATCATGGTCCAAACACACCAAGACAGTCGTGAAGAGGGCACGACAAAGCCTATTCCCCCTCAGGAGACTAAAAAGATTTGGCATGGGTCCTCAGATCCTCAAAAAATTCTACAGCTGCACCATCGAGAGCATCCTGACTGGTTGCATCACCGCCTGGTATGGCAACTGCTTGGCCTCTGACCGCAAGGCACTACAGAGGGTAGTGCGTACGGCCCAGTACATCACTGGGGCAAAGCTCCCTGCCATCCAGGACCTCTATACCAGGCGGTGTCAGAGGAAGGCCCTCAAAATTGTCAAAGACTCCAGCCACCCTAGTCATAGACTGTTCTCTCTGCTACCGCACGGCAAGCGGTACCGGAGTGCCAAGTCTAGGTCCAAAAGACTTCTCAACAGCTTCTACCCCCAAGCCATAAGACTCCTGAACAGCTAATCATGGCTACCCGGACTATTTGCACTGCCCCCCCCACCCCATCCTTTTTACGCTGCTGCTACTCTGTTAAGTATTTATGCATAGTCACTTTAACTCTACCCACATGTACATATTACCTCAACTACCTCAACTAGCCGGTGCCCCCGCACATTGACTCTGCAACGGTAACCCCCTGTATATATAGCCTCCCTACTGTCACTTTATTTTACTGTATATATAGCCTCCTTACTGTCACTTTATTTTACTTCTGCTCTTTTTTTCTCAACACTTTTTTGTTGTTGTTGTTTTATTCTTTTTTTGTTTAAAATAAATGCACTGTTGGTTAAGGGCTGTAAGTAAGCATTTCACTGCAATGTCTGCACCTGTTGTATTCGGCGCATGTGACCAATAAAATTTGATTTGATTTGATTTGTCTTAGCTCTCTCAAATAACACCTGTGATTGCTTTATGCCTCTCTCACATGACAATATGCCTTGCCTATTGCTGTTCCGGTTAGTTCTTATTATACCATTTCTCTGTAGAGCCCCCAGTCCCGCTCAACCAGCCTCAGAGAGCTCCTTTGTCCCACCCCCCATACACGCGGAGACCGGCTCAATCGGTGCCTCCAGTGATGCTATCTCTTTTATCGTTACCCAACGCTTAGGTTTACCTCCACTGTACTCATATCCTTCCATATCCTTGTCTGTACATAATGCCCTGAATCTATTCTACAACACCTGGAAATCAGCCCCTTTTATTCTCTGTACCCAACGCACTAGAAGACCAGTTCTTAAAGCCTTTAGCCATATCTTTATTCTACTCCTCCTCTGGTGATGTAGAGGTTAACCCAGGCCCTGTAGCCCTCCTACTCCCCAAGCGCTATCATTTGTTGACTTCTGTAAACGTAAAAGCCTTGGTTTTTTGCATGTTAACATCAGAAGCCTCCCCCCTAAGTTTGAGTTACTCACTGCGTTAGCACACTCCGCCAACCCTGATGTTCTAGCAGTGTCTGAATCCTGGCTTAGGAAGACCACCAAAAACTCTGAAATTTCCATCCCCAACTACAACATTTTCCGTCTAGATAGAACTGTGCCCAAACAGTTTGAACTTCTACTTCTAAAAATCCACCTCTCCAGAAATAAGTCTATCACTGTTGCCGCTTGCTACAGACCGCCCCCAGCTGTGCCCTGGACACCATATGTGAATTGATTGCCCCCCATCTATCCTCAGAGTTCGTATTGCTTGGTGACCTAAACTGGGATATGCTTAACAACCCGGCCGTCCTACAATCTAAACTAGATACCCTCAATCTCACACAAATTATCAAGGAACCTACCAGGTACAACCCTAAATCCGTAAACATGGGCACCCTCATAGATATCATCCTGACTAATTTACCCTCTAAATACACCTCCGCTGTCTTCAACCAGGATCTCAGCGATCACTGCCTCATTGCCTGCGTCCGTAATGGGTCCGCGGTCAAACGACCAGCCCTCATCACTGTCAAACGCTCCCTAAAACACTTCAGCAAGCAGGCCTTTCTAATTGACCTGGCCAGGGTATCCTGGGTGGATATTGACCTCATTCCGTCAGTAGAGGATTCCTGGTTGTTCTTTAAAAGCGCTTTCCTCTCCATCTTAAATAAGCATGCCCCATTCAAAAAATTCTTAACTAAGAACAGATATAGCCTCTGGTTCACCCCAGACTTGACTGCCCTTGACCAGCACAAAAACATCCTGTGGCGTACTGCATTAGCATCGAACAGCCCCCGCGATATGCAACTTTTCAGGGAAGTCAGGAACCAATATACACAATCAGTTAGGAAAGCAAAGGCTATCTTTTTCAAACAGAAATGTGCATCCTGTAGCACTAACTCCAAAATGTTTTGGGACACTAAAGTCCATGGAGAATAAGAGCACCTCCTCCCAGCTGCCCACTGCACTGAGGCTAGGAAACACTGTCACCACCGATAAATCTACGATAATCGAGAATTTCAATAAGCATTTTGCTACGGCTGGCCATGCTTTCCACCTGGCTACCCCTACCCCGGCCACCAGCTCTGGCCAAGGCTTTCGACTCTGTCAATCACCGCATTCTTATTGGCAGACTAAATAGCCTTGGTTTCTCAAATGACTGCCTCGCCTGGTTCACCAACTACTTCTCAGATAGAGTTCAATGTGTCAAATCGGAGGGCCTGTTGTCTGGACCTCTGGCAGTCTCTATGGGGATGCCACAGGGTTCAATTCTCGGACTGACTCTATTCTCTGTGTATATCAATGATGTCTCTCTTGCTGCTGGTGACTCTCAGATCCACCTCTACGCAGACGACACCATTTTGTATACATCTGGCCCTTCATTGGACACTGTGTTAACAAACCTCCAAACGAGCTTCAATGCCATACAACACTCCTTCCATAGCCTCCAACTGCTCTTAAACGCTAGTAAAACTAAATGCATGCTCTTCAATCGAACGCTGCTTGCACCCGCCTGCCCGACTAGAATCACTACTCTCGGCAGGTCTGACTTAGAATATGTGGACAACTACAAATACCTAGGTGTCTGGTTAGACTGTAAACTCTCCTTCCAGACTCACATTAAGCATCTCCAATCCAAAGTTAAATCTAGAATCGGCTTCCGATTTCGCAACAAAGCCTCCTTCACTCATGCTGCCAAACATGCCCTCGTAAAACGGACTATCCTACCGATCCTTGACTTCGGCGATGTCATTTACAAAATAGCCTCCAACACTCTACTCAGCAAATTGGATAAAGTCTATCACAGTGCCATCCGTTTTGTCACCAAAGCACCATATACTACCCACCATTGTGACCTGTACGCTCTCGTTGGCTGGCCCTCACTACATATTCGTTGCCAAACCCACTGGCTCCAGGTCATCTATAAATCACTGCTAGGCAAATCCCCGCCTTATCTTAGCTCATTGGTCACCATAGCAACACCCACCCGTAGTATGCGCTCCAGCAGGTATATCTCACTGGTCATCCCCAAAGCCAACACCTCCTTTGGCCGCCATTCCTTCCAGTTCTCTGCTGCTAATGACTGGAACGAACTGCAAAAATCTCTGAAGCTGGAGACTCTTATCTCCCTCACTAACTTTAAACATCAGTTGTCAGAGCAGCTTACGGATCACTGCACCTGTACACAGCCCATCTGTAATTAGCCCACCCAACTACCTCATCCCCATATTGTTATTTATTTTGCTCATTTGTACCCCAGTATCTCTATTTGCAAATCTTCTTCTGCACATCTATCACTCCAGTGTTAATACTCAATTGTAATTATTTTGCACTATGGCCTATTTATTGCCTTACCTCCATAATCTTACTACATTAGCACACACTGTATATAGATTTTCTATTGTGTTATTGACTGTATGTTTTGTTTTATCCCATGTGTAACTCTGTGTTGTTTTTATCGCACTGCTTTGCTTTATCTTGGCCAGGTCGCAGTTGTAAATGAGAACTTGTTCTCAACTGGCTTACCTGGTTAAATAAAGGTGAAATAAAATAAACACACACAGACACACACAAACTAAACTCCCTTCTTTACCTAAAGAACTCACAGGGGTAAAAAAACTAACAAAGACTCCATCTGCACAAGGTCAGTCAATCACCCAAGGTCCTGACCTGTACAGCATTATTTCATTCCTCTGTAACTCAGTTTGTAGTGCATGGCACTTGCAACGCCAGGATAGTGGGTTCGATTTCCGGAACCTCCCGTACGCAAAATGTATGCATGCATGACTGTAAGTCATGGATAAAAGTGTCTGCTAAATGGCATATATTATTATATATATTATTACATTTTACATTTTAGTCATTTAGCAGACGCTCTTATCCAGAGCGACTTACAGTTAGTGAGTGCATACATTTTTTCATACTTATTTGTGAGGGGAGGTTGGCCTCCTGTCTCTCTTGCCAAAGAACACTCTGTCTGCATGTGGACTGCCAACCAAGAGAGTGACTGGACTGCAGCTGTAGGTGAGAGGGGCAATGCAGCCAGGACCTGACAGGGCAGATTGTCTGACCTTATTCCAGACGGATGGAGTTGTTTTTGACTTTCTGTCCGGTAAACTGGATAGCAGCCCAGCTCTTTAGGTAGAGAGAGGAGTTTAGTTATGCTACAGGTTTGCTACAAGTTTAGTTATAACTGTTTTCAGGCTCTCAGATGTGGCTGGAGATTTTAACAGGGGAACTCTCCGGTCACACCCCACAGGGATGCCATGCTTCATATATATTTGTGGGACTTGGTTGAACTTGACCAGGACATCAAGTTTAGCATGACCTCTGCCTTGCTTGTTTGCAACAATATCACTGGTTGAGTTGAAGGCATCTGATATCATGAACATTATAGGGCAAGGGTACCATATGAGGGATCTCTTTTTCCTCTATTGTAAGGACGAGGACGAGGACGGGTATCCCAAGAAGAGGTGGCCCACTGTTGATGCCTCATACTACGGTGGCCGAGGTGTGGGTGGCATCAAGAGAATGGAGGTGAGAAAGACATGCACTGACTGTTGTGCCCGGACTGTGGGGCCCTTCATCCAATTACGGCTCAGCTCTGGTCATTATATTACCATTCCCCTGCCACTCACTGACTGTTGTTGCCTGTCCCTGTTCAGGTCCGCTGGGGTGACAAGGGTTCCACTGAGGAGGGGGCCAAACTAGAGAAAGCCAAGAATGCCCGCGTCAAGATGCCAGAGCAGGAGTTTGACATGGCACCAACACGCACTCTCAACAACGGCATGCACAAACCCATCAGTCCCCAGAAGTGGTACTCCCCTATAAAGGTACTGTACAGGGCTGTATTCACTTTGTTACGTAGCCCCGCCCAGTTCCTGATCAAATGTGGTTGTTTTCCAACTTCCGACCCATTCCGGCCTGTTGTCACACAGCAAAGCCAGGGAGGAGATGTCGGTAAATACACTATACAGTTGAAGTCGGAAGTTTACATACACTTAGGTTGGAGTCATTAAAACTCGTTTTTCAACCACTCCACAAATGTCTTGTTAACAAACTATAGTTTTGGCAAGTCGGTTAGGACATCTACTTTGGGCATGACGCAAGTAATTTTCCAACAATTGTTTACAGACAGATTATTTCACTGTATCACAATTCCAGTGGGTCAGAAGTTTACATACACTAAGTTGACTGTGCCTTTAAACAGCTTGGTAAATTCCAGAAAATGATGTCATGGCTTTAGAAGCTTCTGATAGGCTAATTGACATCATTTGAGTCAATTGGAGGTGTACCTGTGGATGTATTTCAAGGCCTACCTTCAAACTCAGTGCCTCTTTGCTTGACATCATGGGAAAATCAAAAGAAATCAGCCAAGACCTCAGAAAACAAATTGTAGACCTCCACAAGTCTGGTTCATCATTGGGAGCAATTTCCAAACGCCTGAAGGTACCACGTTCATCTGTGCAAACAATAGTATGCAAGTATAAACACCATGGGACCACGCAGCCGTCATACCGCTCAGGAAGGAGACGCGTTCTGTCTGCTAGAGATGAATGTACTTAGGTGCGAAAAGTGCAAATCAATCCCAGAACAACAGCAAAGGACCTTGTGAAGATGCTGGAGGAAACAGGTACAAAAGTATCTTTATCCACAGTAAAACGAGTCCTATATCGACATAACCTGAAAGGCCGCTCAGCAAGGGAGAAGCCACTGCTCCAAAACCGCCATAAAAAATCCAGACTACGGTTTGCAACTGCACATGGGGACAAAGATCGTACTTTTTGGAGAAATGTCCTCTGGTCTGATGAAACAAAAATAGAACTGTTTGGCCATAATGACCATCGTTATGTTTGGAGGAAAAAGGGGGTGCTTGCAAGCCGAAGAACACCATCCCAACCGTGAAGCACAGGGGTGGCAGCATCATGCTGTGGGAGTGCTTTGCTGCAGGAGGGACTGGTGCACTTCACAAAATAGATGGCATCATGAGGTAGGAAAATTATGTGGATATATTGAAGCAACATCTCAAGACATCAGTCAGGAAGTTAAAGCTTGGTCGCAAATGGGTCTTCCAAATGGACAATGACCCCTGGGATACTTCCAAAATTGTGGCAAAATGGCTTAAGGACAACAAAGTCAAGGTATTGGAGTGGCCATCACAAAGCCCTGACCTCAATCCTATAGAACATTTGTGGGCAGAACTGAAAAAGCGTGTGCGAGCAAGGAGGCCTACAAACCTGACTCAGTTACACCAGCTCTGTCAGGAGGAATGGGCCAAAATTCACCCAACTTATTGTGGGAAGCTTGTGGAAGGCTACCTGAAATGTTTGACCCAAGTTAAACAATTTAACAGTAATGCTACCAAATACTAATTGAGTGTATGTAAACTTCTGACCCACTTGGAATGTGATGAAATAAATAAAAGCTGAAATAAATCACTCTACTATTATTTTGACATTTCACATTCTTAAAATAAAGTGGTGATCCTAACTGACCTAAAACAGGGAATTTTTACTAGGATTAAATGTCAGGAATTGTGAAAAACTGAGTTTAAATGTATTTGGCTAAGGTGTATGTAAACTTCCGACTTCAACTGTATATACAAAAGTATGTGAACACCCCTTCAAATTAGTGGATTCGGCTATTTCAGCCACACCCATTGCTGACAGATATATAAAATCGAGCATGCAGCCATGTAATCGCCATAGACAAACATTGGCAGTAGAATTCAGTAGAGCTCAGTGACTTTCAACATGGCACCATCATAGGATGCCAACTTTCCAACAAGTCAGTAACATTTCTGCCCTGCTAGAGCTGCCCCATCAACTGTAAGTGATGTCATTGTGAAGTGGAAACGTTTAGGAGCAACAACGGCTCAGCCGCGAAGTGGTAGGCCACACAAGCTCACAGAACGGAACCGCTGAGTGCTCAAGCACGTAGTGTGTAACTATTGTCTGTCCTCGGTTGCAACACTCACTACCGAGTTCCAAACTGCCTCTGAAAGCAACATCAGCACAATAACTGTTTGTCGGGAGCTCCATGAAATGGGTTTCCATGACCGAGCAGCCGCACACCATGCCTAAGATCACCATGCGCAATGCCAAGCGTCGGCTGGAGTGGTGTAAAGTTTGGTGGAGGAGGAATAATGGTCTGGGGGCGTTTTTCATGGAGCAATGGAAACACGTTCTCTGGAGTGATGAATCACGCTTTCCCATCTGGCAGTCTGACGGACGAATCTGGGTTTGGCGGATGCCAGGAGAACGCTACCTGCCCCAATGCATAGTGCAAACTGTAAAGTTTGGTGGAGGAGGAATAATGATCTGGGGCTGTTTTTCATGGTTCGGGCTAGGCTCCTTAGTTCCAGTGAAGGGAAATCTTAACGCTACAGCATACAATGACATTCTAGACGATTCTGTGCTTCCAACTTTGTGGCAACAGTCTGGGGAAGGCCCTTTCCTGTTTCAGCATGACAATGCCCCCGTGCACAAAGTGAGGTCTATACAGAAATGGTTTGTCGAGATCGGTGTGGAAGAACTTGACTGGCCTGCACAGAGCCCTGAACTCAACCCCATCAAACACCTTTGGGATGAATTGGAACGCCGACTGCGAGCCAGGCCTAATAGCCCAACATCAGTGCCCGACCTCACTAATGATCTTGTGGCTGAATGGAAGCAAGTCCCTGTAGCAATTATTATTACTGAAACAGGATACAAGTGGGAAATATAAAGATCCAGTCCATTAAAAAAATTGGAGGCCCCTTACACTTCAGTGTTGTGATGCAAAAATTCTAGCAAAATGTATAGCGCATAGAATTAAAAAGGTATTGTCTGACATTATTAATTCTAATCAGACAGGTTTTTTACATGGACGATACATTGGAGATAATATAAGGCAAGTACTGGAAACAATTGAACACTATGAAAAATCTGGGAAACTAGGCCTGCTATTCATAGCTGACTTAGAAAAGCCTTTTGATAAAGTACGACTGGAGTTTATAAATAAATGCCTGGAGCATTTCAATTTTGGAAAATCTCTTGTAAAATGGGTTAAAATCATGTATAGTAAACCTAGGTGTAAAATAGTAAATAATGGCTATTTCTCCGAAAGTTTTAAACTGTCAAGAGGAGTAAAACAAGGTTGTCCACTATCGGCATATCTATTTATTATGGCCATCGAAATGTTAGCTATTAAAATCAGATCCAACAATAATATCAAGGGATTAGAAATCCAGGGCTTAAAAACAAAGGTGTCATTGTACGCTGATGATTCATGTTTTCTTTTAAATCCACAACTTGAATCCCTCCACAGCCTCATAGAGGATCTAGATACATTTTCTAACCTCTCTGGATTACAACCAAATTATGATAAATGTACTATATTACATATTGGATCACTAAAAAATAAAAAATGTACATTACCGTGTAGTTTACCAATAAAATGGTCTGATGGTGATGTGGATATACTCGGAATACATATCCCAAAATAAATAAATGATATCACTCCAATACATTTTAATAGAAAGTTAGCAAAACTAGATAAGAACTTCCTACGATGAAAAGGTAAATACCTGTCTATTTGTGGAAAAATCACCCTGATTAACTCTTTAGTGTTATCCCAGTTTACCTATTTGCTTATGGTCTTCCCTACGCCTAGCGAAATTATATGAGAAAAAAACATTCCATTTTATTTGGAACGGCAAGCCAGACAAAATTAAACGGGCCTATTTATATAATGACTATGAATTCAGAGGACAGAAATTATTAAATATTAAAGCATTAGATCTATCACAAAAAGCTTCAGTCATACAAAAGTTATACTTAAATCCGAACTGGTTATCTAGCAAATTAGTAAGATTATCTCACCCCATGTTGAAGAATGGCCTTTTTCCCTTTATTCAGATTACAACCTCTCACTTTCAGAAATAATCTCCAAAATATCACTATTTCTAAAACAAGCCATTGAAAGTGGCGCAGCAGTCTAAGGCACTGCATCTCAGTGCTTGAGGCGTCACTACAGACCCCCTGGTTCGATTCCAGGCTGTATCACAACCGGCCATGATTGGGAGTCCCATAGGGCGGCACAAAATTGGCCCAGCGTCATCTGGGTTTGGCTGGTGTAGGCCGTCATTGAAAATAAGAATTTGTTCTTAACTGACTTGCCTAGTTAAGTAATGGTAAAATAAAAAAATTAAATAAAAAGTTGGTTGCAATTTCAATTTAATCCTCCAGAAAAGACAGAACAAATAATGCAATAAATATTGTGGTTAAACTGAAATATACTAATTGATAAAAAAAAACATTCTTTTTTTTAAAGAATGTTTAAAAAAATGTATAATCTTCGTAAATGATATCATAGGTAGGACTGGTGGAGTTACATGCAGCTAACAAAAACATATGGAAATATCTGCTCTACCCAAAATTACAACCAAATAATTGCAGCATTACCACAAAAATTGGAATAGGAAAGTGGAAGGGGGAAAAAGTAAGGAACTTGTCTGTCGGCCCTGCATTAAAGAACATAATTGGTTAAAGAAAATTGTGATAAATAAAAAAGTATACCAGTTTCATTTAAGGACCAAAGGATTGACAGCCGTCCCATATAGATTGCAAAATAGTTGGGAAGAGATTTTTGATGTACCGATTCCATGGCAAATAGTTTATGAACTGATACGCAAAACGACGCCGGATTCAAAACTTAGAATTTTTCAATTTAAATTATTATACAAAATTCTTGCTACCAATAGAATGTTATTTATATGGGGGATACAATCTTCCCACCTCTGCAGATTTTGCTGCGAAGAGACAGAATCATTAGATCATTTGTTTTGGTACTGTCCATTTGTAGCTTATTTTTGGTCACAGGTCCAGGGATGGCTGAAGGATGGCAATAT